CCAACCTTGGCGTTTACAATTCAACATGGGGTTTAGAGGGGACAAACAGACAAACTACATCATAATTCTTTACAAATTGCCCAGCCTCAGGTATTTCTTGATAGCAACAGTAAATGAGGTAAGACACTGTGGTGTTCAGGAGTTCTGTCAGTATAGGGCTGTCGAGGCCCCACAGGGTCGCAGTGTCCCTTATACTGTGCTGAGGTGCAGGATCCAAGAAGTAAAGAGACAGGACACTGAAGAACTGATGAAGAGCATCTGGACTTTGGGGGGCCACGCAACCTGTGAGTGGAGATCAGCAGTGGCTCCCAAATGCCCAAGAGCATCTGTATTTATTAGGTACAAGCAGGGGGCAGGGTTGTGTGTGAGGTCATCATCTATAGGCTTACATAATAGGGCATACACAATCACGTGAGTTACAAGCAAGGGGACCACCCCATTATGTCACCTGGGCAGAGAGGTGGGCTGTGCACAGTAGAGGGCAGTGCCGTGCACAGTAGTAGAGGGTCATGTACAGAAAAGGGGTCCACCCCCATTAGGTCACCGAGGCAAAGATGTTGGCTATGTGCACCAGGTGTCATGCACAACAATTCTTATCTGGGGGCTGGAGACTTCAAAGGGTTTCTAATAGAAGGATACTGTAAGCTTAATGCAGTGGGAGCTGACAGACTTGTGCTCTTCTCTTAAGATATTTATGGGAGGATTCTTTGCACTAGCACAGAAGTGGGAAGAGACTGACAGGGTGGACAGCTGCCATGACTGGTCACACCAGAGGGGTTCTTCTCCCTTGGTTATTTCCAGGATCTCAGGCCCGAGGCCTACTTTCCACAGGAAGTGGATGCAAGGTACTACAGCTCCTTTATCAGGAGGGGAGGCTCTTGCTCCAAGCCTGCCATACAGCGTTTGTCCTTTCAGGCAGGGATGCCACCGCCTGGGTCTTTGGTTCTCATCCTGGTCTGGCTGTTTTCGCATGTAATGCTTCTGTTCTGTGACTGCTCTAGGCATTCCTCCTACCACAAACTACTATATGGTTATATGGAAGGATTATATAAATCAGCACTAAATGTGTCAGTACGCTCTGACTACAATACCTGTATGATTATATAGAAAGATTATACAGAACTAAGTATGCTAGATGTAAGTTTTAAGTATGATTATATAAGCTAGATATATGTAACCAATAAGTTATACTTCAGGCACTAATTCTATAAACTAACATGTGATTATATATGAAGGATTATATAAAGGAAAGAACGGAGCATAACACTATAAACTAAGATATTCTTCAGGCACTAGTTGTGCTTGGGTTCTGGACAGTTCTCCTTCCTCGGTGTCTATGGGGGGGTGTTACCTACATATCAGGATGGGCCCGGGTGTGGGCCTTCCCTCATATGTCCTGCTCAGGGGGCCTCCCAGTCTGCAGGTCGGGACATCCTTCTACTCTGAGAGATGTCCTAGTATCATCAAACCACCCCTCAGAGCACACCTGGAGACTGCCTCACACACCTGTTCCCCGTGGTCACCAGCCTGTTCCCCGAGGTCACCAGCCCTCATCCCTCCCTGGTCACCGCATCTGTGCAAGCGTCTCCTCTGTGACACAGGCTGTTCCTTGGCAATGACTGTCCTTGGCTTCAGCCCCTGCTGACAATTTTCTAGCTCAGAACCTGGGCCCTGGCTGCAGGATGTCCTGTCCATGTCTTCTCGGAAGGGGTGGTGTCCTCCTCTCTCTGTCCCAGGGGCTCCAGGGCACCGCTATCCTCTTCCTTTGTCAGTTTGTTGGGGCTGGGGCTGGTGGTGGGGGAGCCACAGGGATCAGCCTGCCTCACCTCACCCAGCCCCACATTCCCAGGGCTGCTACCATCCCCGCTACACCACAGCCCTGTCCATGTGCACAGGTTTTAGAGTCAAGACACAAACACACAAAAGCCAGGCAGATGGGCACAGTACCTGCTGCAGGCTACATGAAGCTTGGGGCACCATGGATGAGAAGAGCTAGAAATGTTGGGCCATCAGAACCCAGAGGACCAGCCGAGGGGAGGAGCAGCTGACAGGTGAACAGGTGCCCCTGGTCAGCGAGGGCAGGACTCCCCAGGAGGAAGGATCACAAGGATCACTGTCACCTGCAGGTGAGTTGGGCTCTGTTCATCAACAGAAAAACCGTGAGTGATTCTGTCAACAAGGTGATTTTTACCAGTCTGGTGCACCCTCCCCCCCACCACCCGCTTCTGTAACTCAGAAACTGGGCAGCTCCGACTGCCTGTCCCTCGTTAGTGACTGATGGTGTCTGGCTGACTGCATCTCCTGTCTTCAGGCCCTACTGTGTAACTTCAGGAATGGATATCTGCCTCCCCGGGATATCTACCTCCATGGGAGCTGAGGGGTGGAGAGGAAAGACGGGGATGGAGACTGGTGGGTGCCACTGCAGGGCCCTTCGGGGGCTGCTTTCCTCTTCTGCAGTGACCCAGATGCCAGCTGAGGCTTCTGTCTCACTTAGGCCACGGTGCCCACACCAGAGCCCTGAATTCACCTGTTTCACCTTCTTGAGTTTCAGCAAGGATGGGACAGGTTGAGACAGGTGGACATGGGACCACGGGGACTGGTTCTTCATGGTCCCCATGCGCCGCAGCCTGGGGGGGCTTCTCTGGAGGGCTTTCTTCCCAGTGATGGGAATCAAAGGCCCCAATCTTTGAAGCTGACCGTCAGCCTGAACGTGCACATCCTTGTTTTCTTTTGCAAGGAGGAATATTCAGATCCAACACAGATAAGAATGTTGACTCGGTCTCCAGGCCGCAGGGACTGGTGGGAGGCAGGTGGTCTGTCCTCATTTTGTGAAAGGTGGTAGCCTCGTCCTCATCCTTCAGGCTGGACATCAGGACCTCCCAGGGTGCGGGCCTCTCTGTCTCTGGCCTCAGGTGTCAGGAGGCAAAGCCGCTGACGTCCTGAGATGCCCCACGCCCGGGAACTGGCAGCCAAGTGAGAAGGTCTCACTTGTGTCCTCCGGGCCGGGCCTCAGCTACCTGTTCCCTCCTGCAAAGGGCACCGCCTGTCTCCAGGAACTCACCTGGCTCTCCCGAAATCTCGGGGGACACACGAAAAGCCCCAGTGAGAGCGGTAGGAGCCTGCACGTGGAAGGGGCTGGCGGCCTGAGGTCCTGGGATAATGGGCGGGCAGAGGGACTGGGGCCCTGCGAGACGGTGCAGGGTCCGAGGAGGCTGGGAGCGCTCGCCCCACCCGCCCCCGCCCCTCGAGCACTGCGGCCCCACCCGCCAGAGGGTTGCCAAGGGAAGTGACGTCACAGCGCGATGGCGGCGGCTCCTTCAGGCTGCTGAAAGGGGATTTAGGCCCCGAAGATCCGAGTCCATCCGCGGCGGGGAGAGGGCAAGCGGCGCCGGCAGGGGCCGGAGCAGCGGCGGCGGCGCTTGGACTGTCCCATCCGCCCCGTATTGAGGCGCTGGGAGCGACGGGGCAACGGGAAAGCGATGGTGAAAGCGGGGCCGTGAGGGGGGCGGAGCCGGCAGCCGGAGCCGCAGTAGCGGCAGCAGTGGCGCCGCCTCCCGGAGCTCAGACCCAGGAAGCGGCCGGGAGGGCAGGATCGAACCGGGCCGCCGCCGCCATGGAGCTGAGAGTCGGGAACAGGTACCGGCTGGGTCGGAAGATTGGCAGCGGCTCCTTCGGAGACATCTATCTTGGTGAGGCCCCGCCGTCCCCACCCGCCGTTTGAGGACCCGGGCCCCGCGGCTACCGAGACCAAGTGCGACCGCGGAAGGAAGTGGCGGCCCCCGCGGGGTCCGCGCGCAAGCCCTGCCGCCGCCGGGTCGTCGCTAGAACCCAACGGCCACTAGACAAGCGCGGCCGGGGTTGGGGAGGACAGTGGGGCGTGGACCTGGGGGAGGGGCAGGGTCGGGGGGTGGGGGAGCGGGGTCTGGAGAGGGGAGGGGTGGGAAAGAGGGGACAGGGGAGCCGACCCGGGGCGGGGCACGGTCTCGGGGGTGCGGAGTCGGGAAGGGGCAGGGTCGTCGGGGAGCGGACCCGCGAAGGGCTGGGTGGGGCGTGGGGAGGCGGGCCCAGGGGAGGGGCAGGGCGTGATGGGGGCCGCGGCCCGTGGGAGGGGAGGGGGAGGGGGCGGGGCAGGGCCGGGGCCGCGGGCGAGTGTCGGCTTGCTCCGCGCCTGAGGTCTCCGAGATAAACAAAGGCCATGCTCTTTCTTTCGCAGCCCTGTCCGAGGATGTTTGGCTCCCCAGTCAGAGGCTGCCCATGCGTCTTGCACGCGTGGGGGATAATGTCAGAAAGACCCGAATGCCGTGTGGAGCTGGGGGAGTGGCCTGGCTAGGAGCGGGGCTTGCCCTCCACCTCGCGGCCGCCGTCATGACTGACCGCTGGGGGTTCTCTCTGCACTGCGACCCTAGGCCTTGGAGCGGTGACTGAGTGCAAATGAAAGTCCCACAGGGTTAAGATGCTGGCAAAATGAGAGGCCCATGAAGTAGTAGTACTCATGAGCTGTCCTTTAACATTCTCAAGGTAGATTTCAAAAAAAAAAAAAAATGGGATTAGAACATTCTGGGTTGTCATATTTACAACAGAAGAATATGCATGTGGGCACAAGTGTATTGAAAGATTGGCTGACATCTTCAAGTTTGTAAAAAAAATTTATTTTGAGATGGAATTTTGCTCTTGTTGCCCAGGTATAATGGCATGATCTCAGTTCACTGCAACCTCCACCTCCAGGGTTCAAGCGATTCTCCTGCCTCAGCCTCCCGAGTAGCTGGGACTACAGGCGCGTGCCACCACGCCTGGCTAATTTTCTATTTTTAGTAGAGACAGGGTTTCTGTATGTTAGTTAGGCTGGTCTCAAACTCCCGACCTCAGGTGATTCCCCGCCTCCCACCCCTTGGCCTCCCAAAGTGCTGGGATTACAGGCATGAGCCACCACGCCCAGCCCAAGTTTGTACATAATTTTAAAGTAACTTAATTTTCCGTACTTGTCAGTGGGATTGTGCAATACAGGAGTTATTCCAAGACCCCCTGAACTTGAGGATGTGTAGCCTCGTGGGCAGTGTGCCTGCAGAAGGCCTGATGCAGACCTTTGAGGGGACCTATTCTCTGTTCCAGCAGCCCCATCTCTGGGGTGTGTTTGGCTGGGGCACAGCCAGGGTCCGGAATCCTATGGGATGTCAGTAATGCCTCTGGTCGCACTTTTTAGATTAATCCGCATGTGAACAGTCCCTACATCTCATACCCTTCTCACTTTTCACCTGAGAGATGACTCAGGACCCAGTGGGCTGACAGCATTAGGCTGAACCCATACATTTGGGTGGGTCATACTTTGGGTGCCTGGTTAACCTACCAGTTAACCCTGTCACATGCCATATTGTTGCTTTTGAACCTGTATATATGCCTTAGCAGCCTGTGAGTAAAACACGCTTTAGATGTGTGGGTTGACTAAACATTTATACCCAGGTGGTCAGCTGGATATGTTCTTGGCAGTGTTTTGGAAGTCAGAGTGCTTGGTAAATGGAAGGCATTTGGCTTATTTATAGATTGATAGATTTTGGCAAAAGTTTTAACTCCACAGTCTGAGTTACACTGCAAAGCCAGTCCATTAACCACTCTTAGGCAGGCATCAAAAAGAAGTATTTTAGGCTGGGCGCAGTGGCTCATACCTGTAATCCCAGCACTTTGGGAGGCCAAGGTTGGCGGATCACTTGGGGTCAGTAGTTTAATACCAGCCTGGCTAACATGGCAAAACTCCTTCTCTACTAAAAATACAAAAATTAGCCGGGTATGGTGGCCGTCACCTGTGATCCCAGCTACTCAGGAGGCTAAGGCATCCTGAGAGGTACAGATTGCAGTGAGTCAAGGTCACACCACTGCACTCCTCTGAGACCTTGTCAGAACAACTTTGTGCTTTCCAAAGATAGATTCAGACAAATTCTGGTGTGGTTGTTACCAAGTCGTTCACAAAGGTGGAAGGTGGCAGGCTGTCTGCTCACTCATGGTTGCACCCTCAGGCCTCACCTCATGCTGGGCATGCAGTCACGCTGGAAACCATTAGGGTAGGGATTTCCGGTGACTGTGGCTCTGGCGCCCTGGGGTTGGAGCCTTCAGACAACCATCCATCAGGGTACATGTCCAGTTACTTGAGTGGGGTTGGGCACAGCTGATTTGTTTTTTTTCCATCAGCATTGGCTCCTGGCCTACATTTCAGTCCTTTCAGACGACCCCCCTGAGGAAATGAAAAGTGAAGTGGTCATGTAACCCGGAGTAAGGCAGGCTGGAGGAAGTGTGGGTCTGCGCAGAGCAGCAGTTAGAGTCAAGATGGCTGATCTGAAGACCGTGAAATCATCTCCACCATAGTTGGTTTGGGCAACCTGTTAGACACGAATCGAGGGACTGGACCTGTGTGTGTTGTGTGTATTCTCATATGAGCATAGTTAAAACCATTCCTGCTGCTGTCACTTTGGTATTCCTTCAGGTGGGCTTCACCTTGCTCTGAGCCTGGCTTTTGGGTTTTTGTTTTCCATCTGGCACTTCCTTTGCTTTCAGGTGTTTGAGACCTGGAGGAGAGGAAGGCTATGTTTCATTGCAGTGCTTGTAGGCTAGAAGCATGGTGTTGGCCTGCCTGTCCCCATCCTGCTGTGGCATTTGGGGGGCTGAACTGCAGTGCAGGGCCCTGCCAGGTTGTTGGATTCCAAAACGGCCCCTTCAAAGGAGGCAGTATTTTGAGGCTATTTCTTGAATGCCCAGGCTTTGGAAGGTGGGACCTCAAAAAAACAATCTCAGTCCTCAGTCTGAGCTTGCCAGATCCAGAAGATTCTTTGGGAGAGTAGGCTGGGGCACAGCCCACAAAAGCTGTGGAGTGCATGCCTTGGCAGTCTGTCGCGTGACCTGGCCCCAGCTCTATGCCGCCCTCCACATTTGTGTCCATGTGGTGTGGCCATAAACCAGAGGTCTTTTCACTTTTGCTGGCAGAGTATGACTTAAACTTGATAACATTTGAAAACAGCCAGCGTCCTTAATATGGACCAGGAGTTCCAGCCCTAGTACCACAGGGGTGTCTGGGGGAAGGAGAGTGTTTGGCTGGGCCAGGCTAGAGGCAGAGGCCTGCTGTGTTTACCGGTGCCTCCAGGGGCCCGTGCCTAAGAGGCACTGAGAGCCCAGCTGGTCTGGCCTCTGTTCTCGACTATAGTGTGTTCTGGAGGTTAGTGGCAGGACTGGATTACTCGTCTGGTGGGCTGGACAGATGCATTTGTACTTCACCCCATCACACCGTTAGCTTTTCAGGGTCTCCGTTAGCACCTGTTATCTGGATATCTGGACTGGCTTCATAATGCACATGAGCATCTTTTGGGTGCTAACTGCTTCATCTCTGAAGTTCTCATTTTTCCCTCACTGACTGATTCTTGAGGGGCACGCTGCAGGGTACCTGGCATGGAGTAGGGCCCCAGGATGCTGACCAGCTGTGAGAGGAGAGCGGTCACCTGCTCTTGCTCTGGCTTGCAGGGTCTCCTCACTACAGTGCTGAGGCCTGGCCTCTGTTTACCTTGGAGTCTATGTTGAACTCAAGCATCTGTAATGAGAAGTCGTGGTACTGCTAACTGTTGCCCTGCCTTGCAAAGTGACCTTTGTCCTGCTGCTCAAGGTGTCTCCCTGTTTTTCTGTTAACAAAGCAATCCTTAATGGGAGTTGCCAGGGTCCAGGCTGGTAGTTCAGAATTACACTCCTGTGCTAGGACAGGGTCACACTCTGGTTAGGTTCACTTAATTCACCATCTGCTTTTTTTTTTTTGAGACAGAATCTTACTTCGTTACCCAGGCTGGAGTGTAGTGGTGCGATCTTAGCTCACTGCAACCTCCACCTCCAGGGTTCAAGTGGTTCTCCTGCCTCAGCCTCCTGAGTAGCTGGAATTACAGGTGCATGCCACCATGCCTGGGTAATTTTTGTATTTTTAGTAGAGATGGGGTTTACCATGTTGGTCAGGCTGGTCTCGAACTCCTGACCTCATGATTTGCCCACCTCGGCCTCCCAAAGTGCTGGGATTACATGTGTGAGCCACTGTGCCCGGCCACTATCTGCTTTTTTTTTAAGACAAAGTATCATTCTGTCTCTCAGGCTGGAGTGCAATGGTGCGATCTCGGCTCAGGCTCACCGCAATCTCTACCTCCTGGATTCAAGCAATATTTCTGCCTCAGCCTTCTGAGTACATAAGGTTACAAGCTCACACCACCAAGCCTGGTTAATTTTTTGGTATTTGTAGTAGAGGTGGGGTTTTACCATGTTGGCCAGGCTGGTGTCGAATGCCTGACCTCAAATGATCCGTCAGCCTCAGCCTCCCAAAGTGCTGGGATTACAGGCTTGAACCACCATACCCAGCTGCCATTGGCTTTTGGCTGCTGAACTTGAGGGATGTAATTTGGCTTTCCTAGGGCTTAACTGATACCCAAACATGGACTGAGGAAAGCCCTATCTGCAGCAGACCAGGATTATTGAGCTGTGGGGAAGAGTTGAGGTTATTTGGTTGATAGAATGTCCTTTGTATAAACAGACACCCTGGTGATCTGCATGTTACCAGGTTTTGGTTTGTTCTGAATCTGAGACCCGGGGTCCAGGTTCTTTCAAAATTTTCATTCCCCTTGTAGTAGTACTTCTCAGACTTAACCTGTTGGCCAAGGACCAGGCTTGTAATTTTTAATCGTTTGCACACCAAAACTTGTCTGTAATAAGGTCAAAATGCTGCAGCAATGCCAGATAGCCGTCACAGCTACTCAGCACCTCCCTGCTGCCTTATGGACTGATGGCAGCTGAGGACCTGACTTTGAGCAACACGACTGGTAGAGTGTGGGGGTGCCTCTGGTGGGGGAGGTGGGACAGGGCTGCAGGCCAGGAGGTCTGAACAGTGCTCAGCGACCTTGAGGCAGGTGGTACCCATGGGAATGGACAGACCTTGATGCTCTGCTGCCTAATGCTTCTGCCCAGCAGGTGACCCTAGAGTCTGGAGGCCCCAGAGTGTTGCTGCCCTCACATCTGTGTACAGGGCCTGTATCCAGCTGCTCCCCTCTAGAGATTCAGGGTGACCTTGGTGTCTGGTTCCATAGGAGGGCTGGCTCTGTGTGTTTGCACAGTGAGTGGTCCTGGCTTCGTGATAGAATGTGATTCGTGTTATGTGCCAGAGTGGCTGGTGACTGCTTGCCCCAAGACAGTAAATGTAGTGGGTGTGACTGGCAGGCATTAGCCCTGTCAGCTACGGAGAAGTGGAGTGAGAGATGCTAGTCAGCAGACTCTGTGGCCCCAAGCCATTGGCCCCAGGCTGTCGGGTCACTGGGCTGCCAGCTGGTGAGGCTGGCACTGCTCTCCAAAACTGTGCTGTGCCTGCTTGGGGGTGCAAGGAGCTGCTGACATAACTACATGGGATGAGTCACCCTCCCTCCCAGCTGGCGAGTTGAGTTCAGAGTCCAGGTCCTGAAAGGAACTCAGAGTTCATTTTTCCTTTGCACAGTACATTATTTGATGAAGTCATTTCTCTTGTAATTGGGTAGACTGTCCCAGCTGTAGGTAGGAAGAACAAAATTTGTTACCTCTTTCTTTCAAGTGCCCTGAAGAGTCTCTTGATGGTGACATTCTTAAATCTAAGATGGTCATTGGTGGCGACCAGTTGGTGGTGATTCCTATGGAACGAAGCAGTGGTGATGGGTTTTGGGCCCAGGTAGAAGTGGCACGTCTCATGTCGCCATCTGGGCAGGCTAGGGGGTTCTTGGGTGTTCAGTGGATGTGTGTGGGTATCAGCACGCTGCTCTGGTGCTTACTGGACCTTACCCTGCCTTTCATCAGGTAATCTCAAAGAGCTATATGAGAAACTCTTAACTCATCTCTACAACTCTCATGAAGCAGACACTAGAGCTCACCACTGATCTCTGTTGACAAGAGAAACTGAGTCACTAATGACTAGCCAGGTTGCTTTGCCCAGCACAGTGTCCCAGGGCTCTGTCTGGGCTGCTGGAGCTGGTGTGAATTCCTTTGCATATAGCCACACTGTTGGGAAGGATTCCAGTGTCTTACACTCTGAAGGGACCTGTGAGGTGAGTGGAGAGCTGGGTATGTGCTGTATGTGGAGTTTTTTTCTCTTCTCTTTGATTACAGCTCCTTGGATGCCTCATGCAGTGGATGGGGGCGGGGGTAAGGCTTTGGGCCAGATTCAAACTCAGGAGTGTCTGTGGGTGAATCTGAGAGGGAAGGTGGTTGTCAGAGTTGTTGTTTATTGGGGTAAAGCAGGGATGAACATTTCTAGATAAGTGTAATTTTGCCTCCAAACTCATAGGCCAGTCTTCATGGTATTAGATATGTCATTGGTTTTAGCCACAAACAAAAGATGTGTGATCCGTGTGTGCTGATAGATAGTGCATTTAGGGCTTTGAAAACAGGCAATTCTTCTGGCTTCGCGTCCCCAGGAAGGGAGAAGGGCCTTCCTCTGCCTGGTGGAGGGTGTTTGCCTGCAGTGGGTTGACTGGAGATGACTCCCGCTGCCTGCAGTACTAGGACTGTGGCTGTAAGGTAAAAACCCAGCCCTTACTCAGAGGGAAACTCAAACCACCCCCAGAGACCTATCAAGGCAGTGTGGAGAAAAGGGAGCAGCACCCTGGAGCTCCACTCCAGTCTGGGGTGGGTGAGTGCAGGGGCTCTTGGGCAGGGCTGATGGAGGATGCACACCAGAGGGGCCACTATTTAAGAGGGAGCTGCAGCACCTTGAGACTGGCGGGCAGGCAATGGAAGCAGCGCAGACTTTCTGTGCAGTTCAGATTCTTCCTGTTGTAAAAGTGGAAACAAGGATAACTTTCCCCAGAGATGTATCAGCCGATGCTCCTACCTTACTATGCCAGAAAGGAGAAAGCAGCCATCACTTGGTCCTTCTTGGAACACTTGTCATTGGAACATAATGCTTGTCATTTCTCTGGCATGTTGGGTTATTTGGTGGACACCAGATAATTCCTGTTTGTGGTTTTCTTTCTTTACCAAGGTACGGACATTGCTGCAGGAGAAGAAGTTGCCATCAAGCTTGAATGTGTCAAAACCAAACACCCTCAGCTCCACATTGAGAGCAAAATATACAAGATGATGCAGGGAGGAGGTAGGTCCTTTACCAGTCACATAGGAACACCAGGGTTCTGTTTGATAAGGGAGAACAGCAACTCAGCATTGCTTTTGCCCAAAACTGGTTCTGGGCAAAAGGGAGGGAGATGTTCACACCCTGACCAACTGGTCACAGCTTCCTTCAGGGACTCTTGGATCCAGAGGCCCTCCCTCAACACAAAGAAACATCTTATGGGCTAGGCACGGTGGCTCACGCCTGTAATCCCAGCACTTTGGGAGGCTGAGGCGGGTGGGTCATTTGAGGTCAGGAGTTCCAGACTAGCCTGGTCAGCATAGTGAAACCCTGTCTCTACTAAAAATACAAAAATTAGCCGGGTGTGGTGGTGCTTGCTGTAATAGTAATCCCAGCTATTCAAGAGGCTGAGGCAGAATCATTTGAGCCTGGGGGGCAGAGGTTGCGGTGAGCCGAGATCGTGCCCCTGCACTCCAGTCTGGGCGACAGAGTAAGACCCTGTCTCAAAAAAAAAATCTTATACTATTATTTAAACTGCCTTCCTTGTCTTCGTATTGGCTCGTGGTGTCTGAAATCAAGAGTTTGTTTGAATTTTAACACGTGCTCCTGATGGTGTTGTGTGCCCCTCAGCGGTCATGGGGCTGTGCTGGTGGCACGTGTGGTGCACACTGGGGCCTTGCTGATGTGTGATCCCTGGGTAAGGCCTCTGGTCGTTGGCATGCTTTGCTTATAGCTTGGGGGAGTCCCTTCACACCCTGGGCTTATTATCCTGAGCAAAACAAGGGTTTGAACTTGGCCACCATTCTGACCTCTTTCAGCTTAGTTACTGTCCCATTTCTTTGAGCCTTCAGCCCAGCACCTTAGGTACTTGGTGTGCCACGGTGGGCCAGGCGTGGAGACAGAGTGCTCCCGTCCTCACCTCAGAGTTCAACTCACAAGTTGCCTGGACTTTAAGATAATTCAGCTGATAGAGCAGGAGGTCATTCCACGTGGGGATTTCAGAGCCGTGAAGCATGTGTCTCAGCAGCAGGGCTACGGTCTGCCAGGAGCCCTCTTTGGGAACAGGGCTTTTTCTCTGAAGAGTGGCTGTGCCACGTCTGTGGAGCCCTCCCAGTCACAAGCCTCCATGGCATGTGTGTAGGTGGGTTGGGTGAGCCCTCTTGGGCAGTCAGCCATAGGAAAACCTGTTGAGGGCCTCTGTTAGCCCTTTTGTCATGGGAAAGGGTGGACTGTTGATTTGATTTTTTTGACATCTTTTCTGAACTCAAGCGACATAATCTGTGCTACTACCGGAAACTGACATGTCTAGGTTTATGTGACACAAAATGTCTTTGGTGGCAGGTACCTGTGGTCCTGGGGAACCCGTTATAGAGAGGGATGTCCAGTGTGTCCCATCCTGGGCCTCCCACTTCTCTGGGACCAGAGAAGACCACAGAAATGAAAAATCCCATCACCAACCCAAAGAAAGGCCAGCAGAGACCTGTCCTGGGAGCCTGTCATCTGGCGGCCCTTCTTCCCAAGGGCGGACCTGTTTCTCAAGGGCTGGGGCCTGCATTGTCTTGGAGTGGTCCAGGATGTGGCCTTGGCCTGCAGGAGCCTCATGCTGGGGTCGAGTAGAACCTTAAGTTTTTACGAGAGACATCTTCAGGGGAACTTGCAAGTCGGGTGCACAGGGCAAAGGGTAGAAAACCAGTCCTTAAAAGCCCAGGATGGGCACTGGGTAAGTAGGCCAATCCTGAACCGGAAAGAATCTATGTGGTTCAGAACGGGAGTTCTCCACCCGGCACTGGTGTCATTGGTAGTGATGTGTTCTCTGCGCGGTAGATGTTAGCAGCACCCCTGCCCCCAGTTGTGATTCTCAAAATTTTCTTCAGACAGTGCTGAAGGCCCCTGGCAGGCAAAGTTGCTTCCCCTGTGGCCTCTGGCTTAAGAGAGTAAAGAAGCCTATACCTACCTGTTTCTGCCCATGTACCTTCTCTAGAATCCTGGAAACTAAACAGGATTTCAGAAATGGACTTTCTCCCATTCAGGGTTCAAACGCACCGCCATGTCTCTGACCATTCCAAAACGTAGGTCAGATCTTCTGTGTTAAATGCATGCCTGGTGGATGCTGTAAAGATTTTTTTTTTGTAAGATGGAGTCTTACTCTGTTGCCGAGGCTGGAGTGCAGTGGCACGATTTTGGCCCACTGTAACCTCCGGTTCAGGCAATTCTCCTGCCTCAGCCTCTGGAGTAGCTGGGATTATAGGCGTGACCCACCACGCCTGGCTAATTTTTAGTAGAGACGGGGTTTCACCATGTTGGCCAGGCTGGTCTTGAACTACTGACCTCAGACGATCTGCCCACCTCGGCCTCCCAAAGTGCTGGGATTATAGGCCTGAGCCACTGCGCCCGGCTGGATACTGTAAAGATCTAAAGAGCTGCATTTTAGAAAACAAATTCTGTCCAGGAAGGCAGAACCTAGTTCTGGTGGTGGTTTTTGAGTTCATTTTGAGACTAAATGGGGGAGTTGACAAATAATGGGAAGGAATCACTTCACCCAGAAACCTCCAGATCTTGCTGCCGCCCAGCCTTGGGCGGTGTCTGCGGTAGGTGACACAGATTGTCCTGCTGTCTCTGAAAGGGGCAGCAAGCACCACTCATTGTGGATTTCCTTCCTTTCATATGAGAGTCAAGCGATGGTGCCAGGTTCTGATCTTGCTTCCATTTGCCTGATGAGGGCTGCCTTCCAGGAGAAAGCTCCATGCCAAGTGCATTCTGTTCTCTGCAGCTTGGAAGGAGTGAACATTAAAAACCTATCAGTCACTGCCCACAGCAGCCCTGGGCAGTGGGTACTGAGCTCTTCAGCCTCATGTTGCAAATGAGGAAACTTGAGTGTAGAAGGCTGTATAACTTCACAGAGAACACAGACTTGAACTTGAGCGTTTTAGCCCCCCCAGGCTACTGCTGCAAGCAGCTGTCTGCTCCCAGAGAAGGAAATAGCGGCCATGCTACATGGCCTTCAGCCGTCAGTAGTGTGCCCTAGATGCTTCCACTCGTCCAGAATCTGACTGGGACAATAGATTCAATACCTAAAATAGCAGAAACAGACTAAACTTAGCTATGTTGGTGGTAGACTTGGATAGACACCTAGTTTTTACCAGAATTGGACTGGCGGGCAAAACCCAGGGACTGTCGTAACTGCTCTTCCCAATCCTAATATCCCCTAAAGGCAGCTTTAGACCACCCCCTCCTTGGGTCACCCCTCAGCAGAGGACATTTACTTAGTTCACAGCTGTTTGTCATCCTACAAGAAACTTTTTCAAAATCCAAATAATGAAATTATCTAGAAACATTTTACAGGTTTGTTTTTTTTTTTTTTGAGATGGAGTTTTGCTCTTGTTACCCAGGATGGAGTGCAATGGCACCATCTCGGCTCACCGCAACCTCCACCTCCTGGGTTCAGGCAATTCTCCTGCCTCAGCCTCCTGAGTAGCTGGGATTACAGGCACGCGCCACCATGCCCAGCTAATTTTTTGTATTTTTACTAGAGACAGGGTTTCACCATGTTGACCAGGATGGTCTTGATCTCTTAACCTCGTGATCCACCCGCCTCAGCTCCCAAAGTGCTGGGATTACAGGCGTGAGCCACCGTGCCCGGCCTTGCAGTTTTATACATAATCATTTTAGGGTTGAATTGCTAAAAACTTCATAAAATTTTCTATTTGCATTAATACCCAGTTCCCACTTTTTTTTTTTTTGAAATGGAATCTTGGTCTGTTACCCAGTCTGGAGTGCAGTGGCGCGATGTTGGCTCACTGCAACCTTTGCCTCCCAGGTTCAAGCAATTCTCCTCTTAGCCTCCCAAGTAGCTGGGATTACAGGCGCCCATACCATGCCCAACTAATTTTCTGTATGTTTGTAGAGACAGGGTTTCACGGTGTTGCCCAGGTTGGTCTCTAACTCAGGCAGTCCAACCGCCTCGGCCCCTCAAAGTACTGGAATTATAGGCGTGAGCCACCACGCCTGGTCCCACATGTATATTGAAACTTGACAGGTCAGAATGGAGCATGTCTTCGTGTATCTGGCCTTGTCCCGCAGTGTTTTATTCCCACACATTGGTCTAGCTGTCTTTGGGCACCATGAGGGGAAAGCGTCAAGTGTTCAGACTATACATAAGCGGCAGGAGTGGCCGCTTCCCATGTGACGGCGCCTGACCAGGGCATCAGGGTGTCCCCGAATGACTGGCACACTTGGGTGTGGGCAGCTTTGGGTCTTTGTTTTCAAACCCATTGGCTTCACTTGTTCCTGCAAAAACACCAGTAGCAGTAAGTCCACTGAGAGCCAAGAGCATGTTGCTTTTATTGTGTTTCATCTGTTCGCTAATGCCATGGATGATGGGGCACATTGTTACTCATAGCTAACAAGAGAGATACCATTCTGCTGAGATGTTTTGGGGGAAAAAATAAATGGGCCAGGTGCAGTGGCTTATACCTGTAGTCTCAGCTACTCAGAAGGCTGAGGTAGAAGGATGGCTTGGGCTCAGGAGGTTAAGGCTGCAGGGAGCTGTAATGGCGCCAGTGCCTTCCAGCATGGGTGACAGAGCAGGATCCCTGTTAAAAAAAAAAGAGAGAAAGAAAGATGGTGTCATTAAATACACCTTCAGTTACAGATGGATTGTGAGTCTATGCCACATGTCTTTTGAGTACATGAAAGTTTTAGTGTTACGTGATGCAGTCTGTATTCTGTAACTTCTTTTGACCCAGAGTATTCCTGAGATTCTTCCCCACAGATTGCAGCTGTAGGTAGTTGATTTTCATTGTTTGATCATCTACATAGCTCTATAAAGTAGCTTCCTCTTATGCATTGTGTTGAGCCCTGGGGAGTGTCTAGCATTTGCTCTTAGGGACAGTGCTTTTGTGCATATCCTGTCCATGTGTCTGGGGCACATGTGCGAGCACCTATATCTGAAGGTGCAGTGGCTGCTTCTTGGCGCATGCAAGTGTCCAGTTCTGCAAGATAATGCAGGAGTCCGCATATTGATACATATCTATTTTTCTGAGGTGGTTGTACAGATTTCCATTTTCCCCTGCAGCACAGCAGAGTTTTGTGTCACCCACATCACCCTCAGCCTCACAACGCTGTTCTCAGCAGGGCAGGGGAATGATGAAAAAGGCAGAAATAAAAGTGCTATTACTGGTGGCAGGCGGTGGTGGCGGCGGCCAGGGAGGCTGCAGTGCAGTCACTGCTAGCCGAGCCGATTGCCATCCGGCCCAGGTCTGATGTGCGGGCCCGGCGGTGCCGCAGCCCATGGAGCTCGAGAACATCGTCGCGAACACGGTGCTACTCAAGGCCCAGGAAGGTAGCAATGGGAATCACAAAGGCAAAAGCAAGAAATGGCGGCAGATTCTCCAGTTCCCCCACATCAGCCAGTGTGAAGAGCTGCGGCTCAGCCTTGAGTGTGACTACCACAGCAGGTGCAAGTGGCAGCCCATCAGGCGCCTGCTCTTTCGAGAGTTCTGTGCCACGAGGCTGGAGCTGAGCTACTGCATCACCTTCCTGGATGGGGTGGCCGAGTATGAAGTGACCCCAGATGAGAAGCGGAAGGCATGTGGGCAGCAGCTGATGCAGAATTTTCTGAGCCACATGGGCCCTGACCTCATCCCTGAGGTCCCCCAGCAGCTGGTGATGAACTGTGCCCACCACTTGACTGGTGGGTGCTAGGCTGCCTCCTGTACGAAATGATCACAGGCCAGTCACCCTTCCATCAGAGGAAGAAGATCAAGCGGGAGGAGGTGGAGCGGCTGGTGAAGGAGGTGCCCGAGGAGCATTCAGAGCGCTTTTTCCCACAGGCCCGCTCGCTCTGCTCCCAGCTCCTCTGCAAGGATCCCGCCGAACATCTAGGGTGTCGTGGGGGCAGTGCCCGTGAGGTGAAGGAGCACCCCCTCTTTAAGAAGCTGAACTTCGAGCAGCTGGGAGCCGGCATGCTGGAGCCACCCTTCAAGCCTGATCCCCGGGCCATTTACTGCAAGGATGTTCTGGACATTGAGCAGTTCTCCACTGACCAGGACTTCTACCAGAAGTTTGCCACAGGCAGTGTGCCCATCCCCTGGCAGAATGAGCAGATGGTGGAGACAGAGTCTTCCCGGAACTGAATGTCTTTGGGCTGGATGGCTCAGTTCCCCCAGACCTTGACTGGAAGGGCCAGTCACCTGCACCCCCTAAAAAGGGACTGTTGCAAAGACTCTTCAGCGACAGTGAGGAAGAGCTCCCCACCCGCCTGTAGCCCTGAGCCTGAGGCCCCCACCGGCAGTTGGTGTTAGCAGCTACTCCAAACGCTGTTCACAGTTTTGCACAGTTGTCTTCCCCATTGTCCACTCAAGTCGTGGCCTGGGGAACACAGACGGAACTGTTGCCAGCGTCCTCCGCCCCTCAGCCCCTGGCCTGGCTGAGTGGCAAGGCCTGGGCTGTCCCTGGGACAAAGGTGCGTCCCTTCGGCTCTTCTCCATGAGGCTTGGGGCTTTCTGTATTTATACGAATATATATAGCGACCAGAGTGTTCTTAATTCCCACCGCAGACCTGGCACCCCTGCCTTGGCTCCTGAGGACAGCCAGCCCTGGCTGGGATAGTGGGAGCTGGCAGAGGAGCCACTGCCAAACTCAAGGCTCCTCCGGCCCAGTTTGGATGGCTAAGGGTGGTCACAGCCCTGAGCCCTCAGCAGTGTGCTGGGCTGCCCCCCTGTACCCCACCAACCTCTAAGTAAGACTCATGCCTGCCCCTGCTGCCCTGGGCTCAGGCTGCTACCCTGTGGGGCCCAAAGCTGTCCCTTCTCAGTACTTGTCAGAGCTGGATCTGGGGCCTCTGTATCCCCTAGGCCTGTGCCAAAGTGGCCAGAGATTGGGCTGGCTGTTGAGACCCATCAGTCCACTGCCCCAGCCGGCCCAGATAGGTCTGCTTCTGCCTTCCAGCTCCTAGGACCTGGTCCCCGATGCCGGGCCCTGTGTTGAAGACACCTCTTTCAGAAACGCCCAAGCCCAGCCCCTAGGAGGGGGCGGGGCATCCCTGGACAACCCTCTAACATTCCAGACTCCCCTCATAACAATAGAAACATGTGCCCAGCCAAAAAAAAGAAAATGGCATGTGATGTGATGTAATTTTCTACATGGGGATCTCAGAACAGATTAGAGAGTTTAGCAAGTTTAAGATCAGAATATTAAATCAATTCATTTTGTTAAACCAACAACAATTAGTTATAAAATTAGTTTGGAAAATACTGCTTACAGTAGCAAAAACATATCTAGGGATAAATTTTAAGACAGATGTATGTGCATAAAATGTGTAAACTTTATTGAAGAACATTTAAGGATGATTTGCCTAATTCTCCTCCATGTTGAGAGAAGGAAAGATGCCAGGTGTCAGGTTTCCCAAAATTGTTCCTAACACTCAGTGTTCCCATCAAAATCCAGGCATTTCTCTAATATGACAAGGTAACTAGAATTCACTGAGGAGAGTGCAGGGCCAGGGTTAATTAAAACACTTTTGAAGAAGAGGCGCATTTGCCCTGCAAACACCAGAACTTACTATAAAACTGTCATGATGAAACTGTGTGTAGTTCTGACCACAAGAAGGGCTTAGAAAGAGTGACAGCCCAGAACACTGAGCATGCCTGGCCTTGAGGTTTTCAAAGTATCATTCTCTGTTAAGAGGAGCCCGAGATTGGGCCCAGTGGCTCATGCCTGTAATCCCAGCACTTTGGGAGGCTGAGGCAGGCAAATCAGGAGATCAAGACCAGCCTGGTCAACATGGTGAAACCCTGTCCCTACTGAAAATACAAGAATTAGCTGGGCGTGGTGGCGCTTGCTTGTAATCCCAGCTACTTGGGAGGCTGAGGCAGGAGAATTGCTTGAACCTGGCAGTTGGAGGTTGCAGTGAGCTGAGATCATGCCACTGTACTCCAGCCTGGCGACAGAGCAAGACTCCGTCTCAAAAGAGGAGCCCCAAGTGTTTGGAGAGAGAAGCAGCTGATTCTAGGGGTGTTGCAGAAAGAAGGAAGGCGAATCTGGAACACAAGGAATTATACCATATTGGAGTGGAGAATGGGAATTGGAGAATCCATAATGCTGCATATAGAGAGAAAATAATTGGCAAAGGTGTAATAAGGTTGAGTATGTGAAAGACCCAAAATCGGAAACTTTTTGAGTGCTAACATGCTCAACGGAAATGCTACTTGGAACGTTTTGTATTTTCAGATTAGAGAAGCTCAACTGTGAAGTATAATGCAGCTGTTGTTGGGAGAATCTGAGAGTAGATATGTATTTGCTTATGTATATCTGATACACATTTTCAGATTTATATATACAACTTTTAAAATATAAACATAGGTACAAGACCCAAATCAAACATAAACACACATGTATGTATATGCCTCATGCCTTTTTTTTTTTTCTTCAAATTTTTTGAGACAGGGTCTCATTCTGTCACCCAGGCTGGAGTGCAGTGATACAATCACGGCTCACTGCAGTCTCGACTTCCTGGGCCCAAGAGCTCCTCCCACCTCACCCTCCCGAGTAGCTGGGACTGTAGGCACACAGCACCATGCCTAGCTAATTTTTTTTAATTTTTTTTGTAGAGACAGGGGTTTTACTGTGTTTCTGGTCTCAACTGGGGCTCAGGTGATCCTCCCACTTCCACTTCCAACATGCTGGGATTATAGGCCTAAGTCTAGCCAGTTATAAAAGTTTTTGACGTAGACTGCAGTTGAAATCTGTAGTAACTTTCCTTGGCTTTCTCTGCTGGTGTGAACATTCTAGTCCATTTCAGTTAATGTCTTACTCCAGGTTTGTTCTGTACTTAGATGCTGGACATCGAGAATGTGGCATGTGCTGTGCACTCTATGTTCCACAGGCTGCTCCTCAGCCCCGTCTGGGATGAGGTTGGGCTGCATGGGTCTGTTCAATCTGGCGTTTGTGCTTATGCTTCCAACAGTGCACCAGGGTAGCCCAGGGCCCACTCTCCTGGCTCCTTCCTGCCTTTCAGGCATGCTGTCATTGGCCTGGGCCTGAGGTTCTGGAAACTGCCCTGTGACGTAGGAGGCTTTATGGTTTTTGTTTTTCCCTCAGTTACTTAAGGTTTTGAGAGCAAATAGGGCCCTAATACTGTTTTTGTTAGAAGTAACTTTTACACTTTTTTGGTTTTTTTTTGAGATGGAGTCTTACTCTTTTGCCCAAACTGGAGTGCAGTGGCACGATCTTGGCTCACTTCAACCTCTGCCTCCTGGGTTCAAGTGATTCTCCTGCCTCAGCCTCCTGAGTAGCTAGGATTACAGGTGCCTGCCATCATGCCAGGCTAATTTTTTTGTATTTTTAGTAGAGACAGGGTTTCACAATTTTGACCAATATGGTCTTGAACTCCTGACCTTGTGATCCGCCCACCTCAGCCCCCAAAGTGCTGGGATTAAAGGCGTGAGCCACTGCACCCGGCCCGTTAGCCTTTTAAGTGTTGGTTATGCCTTCAGCACTGATACTGTTCATCCATCTTTAAATTTTTCTTGTTGGATTTATTGTGTCTTTATTCTCACTTCCCTTGATTTGTAGATTTCAAGCCTGGGTTACTGTGTAAATCCTCAAGAAGTTTTCATTGCTTTTACTTTTCTCTTATCCAGTCAAATACTTCTACCAACATGAGAGTAGTTGAACATATTTTCTTCTCTAACCTTAACCCATGGTAGCTGCTTTCTCTCCTAAACCCCCTCCCCTCTATATTGTGACATCTGTGGCAGGCTCCGCTGGTCCTTTCTGCCTGAGCACTTTATCCCCTGCATTGCTGCTGCTTCCTGTGTCTCCCACCCCCCCTGCCCTAGAAGGCTGGAGTCAGGGAGGTGGGGCTTTGATCCCCTCTTTGTCCCCCTTGCAGCTCCTGCTTGCTTGGCCCTCATCCCACATCTGCCTTGGGCTATTTGCTAACCGATGGGGCTTTATCTCGAGGATGGGTCCCTGAGGACAGGCATTGCTGGAGTCTTCTGCCGCCACTACCTCTCTCCCATTCGGGATTGTCACCATGACCCTTGGTGCGCATAACGGAGACTCAGTGTGGAACTGAGGCGGGACATGGACTGAAATGCTGTGTCTGATTTCCTCTCCTAGTGGGCATCCCCACCATCAGATGGTGCGGGGCAGAGGGGGACTACAACGTCATGGTGATGGAGCTACTGGGGCCAAGCCTGGAGGACCTCTTCAATTTCTGCTCGAGAAAATTCAGCCTCAAAACTGTCCTGCTGCTTGCCGACCAAATGGTAAGGACTGTTTACTAACACCTGGTGCACACTTGCTGTCTTAAAGACTCGGTCGCTCAGCTGTGCTGTTCTTGGCATTATTACGGCTGTTAATTCGAAGAGGAAATGGAAACGTGTTGAACCTCAGCCTTGAGGCTAAGGTGGCACGGCTGACTGTCTTGGAGGCCACCCTCACAGCATGCTTCTGTTTAGTGGGCTCCCTGAGTCTCTCAGGGACACGCATGTGATTCCTAACCACATCTGTGCAGTTTGTTAATTCTGGTGTGTAGCCTTTGTGAAGAATAGAGCTGGGAGAGACCACTCTCTAGGGGTGGGGGTTGTCCCCTCTCTTTGTCACCTCATCTCTTTTTTTTTGAGATGGGGTCTTGCTCCGTTGCCCAGGCTGGAGTGCAGTGGTGTGATCTCGGCTCACTGCAACCTCTGCCTCCCCGGTTGAAGCGATTCTCCTGCCTCAGCCTCCCAAGTAGCTGGGACTACAGGTGCACACCACCACACCCAGCTAATTTTTGTATTTATAGTAGAGAGGGGGGTTCACCTTGTCGGCCAGGATGGTCTCGATCTTTTGACTTTGTGATCTGCCTGCCTCAGCCTCCCAAAGTGCTGGGATTATAGGCCTGTGCCACTATGCCCGGCCCTCACCTCTCTCTTGCAGGAGCAGAGGGCAAAGCACCTAAGCTGTGGAGGATGGAGGGTTGCTGTAGGCACCTAGGGGAACAGTTTGGTCAGTTCTGCATCCCCCTCACTAATGGTTAAACTACCCTGCTGTGGCTGAGGGGCAAAAAGAACACAGCCGCTGGCATGGTGTCCTGCAGTTGAACGGTCCCTCCCTGAGGCCACCTTGGGGTGCCATCTCACACCCTTCTCTACTCACAGATTAGTCGCATTGAATACATTCATTCTAAGAACTTCATCCACCGGGATGTGAAGCCAGACAACTTCCTCATGGGCTTGGGGAAGAAGGGCAACCTGGTGTACATCATCGACTTCGGGCTGGCCAAGAAGTACCGGGACGCGCGCACCCACCAGCACATCCCCTATCGAGAGAACAAGAACCTCACGGGGACGGCGCGGTACGCCTCCATCAACACGCATCTTGGAATTGGTGAGCCCCTGCGTGTGGGGTCACTGGCCTTGGCCTAGGGTGCCTTTTGGGCGTCTCCATGCCTCAGCCCAGGAAGAGGCCAGCCTAGCTGGGGGTGCAAGCGTGTCATCAGACCTTTGCAGCAGACAGGGTAGCTCATGGCTGCCAGGTGGTGGGGGGCAGGCGGATGCTGGGATGTTTCTGAGTCACCTTTGATGCGTTTGGGAATTTCCTGAGGAAGCATGAAGGCAGGTTTGGGTGAGAGTGATCCAGGCGTGTGTCTGAGGGTTGTCTCCGCTGTGTCAGCAGGTTCTTTTGCTTTTACATGAGCACACGGGTGTCATCCTTCATGCCGTTTCCTTTTTTTTTTTTTTTCCGCAGAACAATCTCGAAGAGATGACTTGGAGTCTCTGGGCTACGTGTTAATGTACTTCAACCTGGGCTCTCTCCCCTGGCAGGGGCTGAAGGCCGCCACCAAGAGACAGAAATATGAAAGGATTAGCGAGAAGAAAATGTCCACCCCCATCGAAGTGTTGTGTAAAGGCTACCCTTGTAAGTCTCTGGAGGCCTCCTCTCAGTGGAGCTGCTCACAGGGGTTGCCCATGTGTCGGGCCCATGGCTCAGGAGAGTTGCTGGCCTTCAAAAGGGTGGTGGCAGGAACAAGGGGTGCTTTCAAGTATGGAGGTAACAGCCGGCCCTCCTGTTCAACTTGACTTACTTGCCAAGTGCCCATCCGTGCGGGGAGCACTTGGAGGCCCTGGACAGACAGGAGGCGAGGCGGGCCCAAGTGGCTGGAAAGGGACAGTTGGGCAGTGGTGGGCCTCTCTCTGCCCTGGCTGCCCTCTCTGGCCCCCTCCAGCTTTGGGAGCTCAAGAGTTTTTCTTTGCATTTGTAGATTGCCCCAGGATACACACCTCAGATGAAACTAAATTGTGCTTTTGGACTTGAATTCTTTTAAATGCTTTCTTAAGGCCTAGAGTCTTAGAACTCTGACGGGTGTTTGAATCGCTCCTCTCCCCGTGAGTGTGCAGCAGCAGGAGTAGACAGCGGCGCAGACAGACTCCTCCAGTTGCTGTTGGTTTCCAGAATTAGCTTTGACTTTCCTGTTTTGCAGCTGAATTTGCCACATACCTGAATTTCTGCCGTTCCTTGCGTTTTGACGACAAGCCTGACTACTCGTACTTGAGGCAGCTTTTCCGGAATCTGTTCCATCGCCAGGGCTTCTCCTACGACTATGTGTTCGACTGGAACATGCTGAAATTTGTAAGTGGCACTGTCGGCACGTTTGTTCCGTGTGCTGTTCATGGTGGCCTCTTGTTTAGGGGACTGTGCTGTATAGGGGGTGTCTGCCCCATGGTGATGGGTGAGTGTGTTGTAGCGGGCAGGACTTTGAGTGGGTGTCTGCTTACAGGAAAGGGGTGCCAAGTAGTAAGATGCCACCAGGGAAAGTAGCGGGGTCCGTGTAGTCTTGGATGTGCACAGCAAGAGGACCCCTCTCCACTATCACCAAGCAGAGCTAGGGCTCCAAGCACGCCCTAGGGGAAGAAGAGGGCGGGGGTCGGGAGTGCATCTTCCCATTCACTGTGCCACATGGTCGTGCCACCAGATGAGTGGGGTTGGGGCCTAGTGAGGTGCAGCTGGTCCAGCCTGACCCTGTCATGAGCTGGTTTTGCCTGTGGCTTTCTGGGTGTGGGTGTGAGAATGCCCTGGAGCAGCCCAGCCTTGGGTTCACTGTCTGAGCTTAATTATTCAGATGCCACTGCCAGAATTGAAGCTCCTCTGTAACTGTTGTGTTCTTTCATTAAAAACTGTTTAGTTATCAGTTTTGAATAGAAAAGGTTGGCGCTTTTGCAGGTGACAGTCTAATGAAGTAGCAGAACTGCTTCTTGGGAGGATACAAAAATGGCAGCCATGTCCGATGGTGGTGCAGGGTCGAGGCGGGGCGGGGGTGTCCTGGTCCGGGCCTCAGCACCTCCAGGTGCTGGGTGGGGTGGGCTCTGTAGGGCGGGTCAGTCCTCTGGCAGGGCTGTGCTGCCTCGGGAGGTGTCAGAGCCACCCTCCTGCTGTGTTGGAGTCCCCTGGCCCTCAGAGCAGGCTGGGCTGTGTGTAGTCCAGTGGACGTGGCTGTGTCCAGTGAGCTTTATTTGCAGGAAAAGTGGTAGCTGGGTTTGGGTCTGGGGCAGTAGTTTGCAGGCCCCTGCTGCACAGCATTGGCAGTTAGAATCTACTCTTTCGTAGGCTGCTGTCTTGGCTTAAAAGCTGATCTCCCCACCCCCATGCATCTGGATGGTGCAGCACAGACCTGCTGCCGGCCTCACCTCCACACCTATGCAGACTGTTGGGGGCCGCAGGGTCTGGACCCTGAGTGGACTCCTTATCTGACCAAACGCTCTCATCCCCGCCCCACTTTCCTCCCCAGCTGTCACCATTTGGGGCCTGTCTCTGGCCTCCAGTGGTTCCTGTTCCGCTCCTTTCCCTGCACGTGTCAGTGAGGATGTTCACAGAGGAGCAGGCAGCCCAGCTGCTGCCCATTTTGAAGTTTAAGGAAGTTCTGATCCCCCAGGGAAGTGCTGTGGCGAGTGGGGTTTTTTCGATTGTTGGGGGAGCTTAGAGGCCTGGCTCTGACCCCTTTCTGGGATGGCACTGGCATCCCATGGAGAGAAACGTTGTGCAGTATGCGGGCGGCTTCGCAGCCAGTCTTGAGCCCCAGTGCCCTTTGGTAGGTATTTACTCACATGGCTGGGGCAGCCCAGAACCTGGGGTTGCTTTCTGCCAAATCCGGTTCCATCCCGGCCTCACCTCCTTCCTCCTCAGGGTGCCAGCCGGGCTGCCGACGACGCTGAGCGGGAGCGCAGGGACCGAGAGGAGCGGCTGAGACACTCGCGGAACCCGGCCACCCGCGGCCTCCCTTCCACAGCCTCTGGCCGCCTTCGGGGGACGCAGGAAGTGGCTCCCCCCACACCCCTCACCCCTACCTCACACACAGGTGAGTGCCCCCCTCCCAGCACTCTGGGACGGCTTCCTGTGTCTCAGGGTTGGTGGGGGCAATGCACTTGGTGGTGGACACTGTGAATTTCCCACGTCAGGTGATGCTTACTCCTGAGAGTGGATGAGCCGGGCTGCCTGGGCACCTTTAGAAATGCAGGCACCTGCTGGTGTGTGTGATTCCTCCCGTATCCCATGTTTCTCCTTTGTTCCTCCGGCTGGATTTGAGTGTTGGTGGCCATCAGCTCTGCCGGCTCCTGACTGTCCAGGCAGCCCAGGGTCCTCTCCGGCCACAGCCTCTCACAGGAAGAAAGCCCTGAGTGGCAAGCAGCAGCCAGGGGCAGCCCACTCCATTTCTCTTCCTCTCTCAGCTAACACCTCCCCCCGGCCCGTCTCTGGCATGGAGAGAGAGCGGAAAGTGAGTATGCGGCTGCACCGCGGGGCGCCCGTCAACATCTCCTCTTCCGACCTCACGGGCCGACAAGATACCTCTCGCATGTCCACCTCACAGGTAGGTGCAGAGCTCCTGGGTGGGCACCGGCCTCGGCTGTGCCATCCAAGTCCAGAGCAGGCTGTGATTTCTGAAGGGCGTGTTTCCTTCCTTCCTTTTTTCCCCCATTTTTGAGAGTTTTTAATCTCGCTGAGGCGTGGTGGCCTGGTTGCTGATGAGGCTTCTGGGGAGAGCCTGGGAGACAGGCCGGGCCATCACAGGGCTCGTCTTCTGGTCACAGATGGCCAGTCTCAGGTCTCAGGTGCCCGAGGCCAGCAGACCGTGGGGGTTTTCTCCTGCCATTTGAGTGCCCTGCCGCCCCAGCTATCCCCACGCAGGCAGCAGCACTCGCCTGCTCACGCCTCATCCGGGGTGCATTGGTGAGTGCCCTGGCCCAAGAACCTTCCTCATTCTTGCCACTGGCCAGGGTTGGAGGCCTGTAGGGACCTCCACAGGCTCCTCATAAGACCCTCTCTGCTAGTGTGCCCTGCAGCGAGGCTTCCATTCTTTTGACGGCCTTGTCTGTCTTCCTTCAGATAAGAAGCACCCCTGCTTCGCAGCAAAGGCAGGCAGCCCGGGTTGGCCACAGGTGCCGCCTCGTCAGCATCCTCCTCCAGCAGCCTCTCTTCTCCTCTCCTCGCTCTGGCTTGTTGTCTTTTGCGTTTACTAATGTGCTCTTCGAACCAGAACAGCTTTCTACCTATGAATCTGTTGTGTTTCTTCAGAGTGTTCTGGGTTGTTCACCAACAGGGGCAGGGTTGCCCTGTCATGGCTGTGTTTCACTAGCAGGAATCCTCGGGGTACCCAGATTCCCCACAGGTCTTCTGGATGAGCAGGAACTCAGTTCAGAAACGTCCTAGAGTCTGGCTGTGGGCTTGTGGGGCAGTGTCTCTTGGGGTCACAGGATGGAGCCAGGCCCACTGTCGTGAGCAGGGCTTGGTGTAGCTGGCTAGCCAGGAAAGCGCCGGTGTGGGGAGCACTCTTGGCCACTTGCTATCTTTTAATAAGTGAGTTTAGGCCGGGCATGGTGGCTCACGCCTGTAATTCCAACACTTTGGGAGACCGAGGCAGGTGGATCATGAGGTCAGGAGTTCAAGACCAGCCTGACCAAGATGATGAAACCCCATCTTCACTGGAAAAAAAATTTTTTTGAAAAACTAGCTGGGTGTGGTGGCAGGCACCTGTAATCCTTGCTTACTTGGGAGGCTGAGACAGGAGAGTCACTTGAACCCAGGAATCAGAGATTGTAGTGAGCTGAGATCGTGCCACTGCACTTCAGCCTGGCCGACAGAGTAAGATTCTGCCTCAAAAAAAAAAAGTGAGTTTATTGCACGTTTCTAATTCACTAGTAACTTAACTAGAAATGGATTTCTTATATGGTAACATTCTCTCAAAGAAACCAAAGATGCAGAGATTTTGACTTTGTAGTTATTTGCATTGGGCATGAGGGGTCCGGCCTGCATCAAGAGAGTGGTCCCTTACATGCACACAGCCCTGGTCTCACCTCCAGACACAGAAATGGTTTAACAGGTTTCTTCCCACGAGCCTGGCACTCACACCTCAATTACTGGGAGCAGGCCCCAGGAGGGTCTGCCCGTGCCCACCTGTTTTCTTGACACATGGTGGTTCTGTAGCCCCTGAACCATGGAGCAGGGGCCAGGAGTCGTCCCATGCTGGGTGTTGACTGGACTTGGATGGCCTCACCCCAGCACTTGGCTGACAAAAGACTAGGGAAGGAACCTGAGTGCTTTTTTGCTTGTTTATTTTAAAGAAAATAAAGTCTCTAGTGGTTTGGCGTCTTTGAGGGCAGTGAAGGCAGGCTGAGCAGTCAGCCGTGAGTCTAGCCGCCTCTTCTCAGCACACGGCCCTGGCAGCACCTGGGTATGGCCATCACAGCCACCAGCCCCCAATGTGGCCGTGAACGGTGCCTCCTTCCATGGTTTGCTATGGCGGGAACTCACGGCTGGGCTCTTAGGAACTTGTTTTCATGTGAGGAAATGTGATGTGGGCTCTAACAACAGGGAGGAGTCTCCAGAGAGAGTTGGTTTGGGGGTATGTTCCCTCCTAAAGAAGCATCTCGGCCTCTGCCCTTGGGCACCCTGGCGGGGGGGGCTTCCTGAGAGGCATGTTGAGGGCTCTCCGCCTCCAAGGTGGTCCCCCTCCTTCGTCACCATCTCACGGGAAGGTTTCGGCCGTGTCCTCTTCCTGCCAGACTCTGCCAGCAGCAGCACGTGTGGTGGCTGTCATCGGCAGCCCCCATTATGAATCCTGGAGCAGGGAGACAGGAGGCTTGATTCCTCTGTATGCTTCACCTGGTTGCTCGGGTGAGCTGGAGAGACAGGTGCCATGGGCAGTGACTCATCCCCGGCCAGTCTTCCTCCTTAGGCCGCTGCTCTTCCCGGTTCTTTTTGCTCCTCTCAGGAGTCAGTGCACGCGGTAGAGATGGGAAGAGGCAGCAGAAAGGTCTCCTGGGCCTTGCTGGCTCTGGGTGGGTCTGCATGAGGGGAGGACCATGTAGCAGCCCTGCCTGTGGGTCCCTGAGGCCCCCACAGCTGTAGGACCCTGTCCCAGCCCAGACTGCGTGGGTTTGCTCCCTCTTCGCCCCCTCTTTTCTCACGCTGCTGGTGTTCAGCCAGGTCTCTTTGGCCACAGTAGCCTTTGCCCTAAAGGCCATCTAGTTGCTGAGTCTGTTTGGGGTTTCTACTTGGTGAGAAGGCAGCCTCATCAGTCCAGTGGTTGATGACTCGCTTTGATCAACCCCTGCTCAGGACTAGGCCTGAACCCCATCGTCGTACTGGCGAGGATGTGCGTCTCTTCCCCACCTGCAGGCTGTGCCCTGAGACCCAGTTGGGCTGCTCAGCACCTGCCATCCCGTAGGGCATCAGGTTCTCTTAGTGCTTGAGAAGACTCAAGAGGGCCTGTCCCTCGCCCTCATTGGCCTTAAGAGCAAGTGATTCCAGAAGAGGAGTGGCCGCCATTCTCATCCAGAGGCCAGTCCTGAGAGGCAAGTGAGGCTGCGGACCATGCCTGGGCTCCCCCAGCCGGCACCTGTCGGAGGCCTGTGGGCCCGGTTGAGGCGAGGATGCCCGTCTGGACACAGGGCCAACACAGGTAGTCAGGGGGCCTGCGGGACGCTTACCAACAGCTGTCTTTTCCCCACCTCAGAATAGCATTCCTTTCGAACACCACGGCAAGTAGCTGCTCGTCTCCCATCGGAAGGCAGCACTGGGTGAGTGTGCGTGTGGCGGGCGCCAGGCAGCAGCGCTGGGTGGGTGGGAGCCAACATGCCCCGCCTGCCCGCCTGTGGGAGCTTGCAGGTGGGCTGGGCTTGCATGCCAGGTGCTGGAGGTAGAGTGAGGCTTCTTCTGCTATTATTCTTGTGTGGTGCAGAGCGGCTGCAGTCCGCTGCCCATTCTTGAGGGGAGGCTGTCCACAGAGACTCTTGGAACAGAGTAACACCAGGAGACCGTCCTGTTGGCCTGTGGCCTCCCTGTGACTGCGTTCAGCACGCTGCCACTCCCCTCCTGTCCTGGGTGCCCGCCCATGGGCCAGGAGCGGCAAGGCGGGTGCCCCGGGTACTTGAGGTGCCTTGTCTGGGGTCGGCCGTGCCTGGAGGGGCGTCTGTGTTCTGCTCAGCTGAGTGGCTCCACGCTTGGTGTTGGGGGCTCCTAAGCTCTTGCTGCACCACACTCCTGGTGGTCTCTGCCATGCTGGCTTTTCTGGTGGCCTCTCTCTTCCTGTCTCATTTATATCTCTGTTCTTGTTTTGTGTTTCTTTTCACACTTGATCTCTGCCCAGCCATCTTGTCCATGCAGCTTCGTCTGTATTAACTCCTCCAGCCGCAGCCCACTCACTCCCTGCCGTCGGTTCATGGCCGACGTCCTCGCTGCGCTCCCTCCTCGGCGGCCACATGCTCGGCGGCTCCTCCAGCAGGGCCTTGCGCTTGTGTCGGGTGTGTGCCGCTGGCAGACCCGCTGCAGTTTTCACACTGTGCACACTCTGGAAATGTGTTGACAGGAACTGCTTTTCACGTCTTCCCTGAGCAGGGGTCTTTGTTTTCAAACACCAGGTTCCTTTCCAGGAAGGGAGGCTGAGCGCCTGTCTTCGCTCCCCTCGGATCCTCCAACCCTGCCGAGCTCGGCTCCGCAGGCACCTTGCTTGCATGCCTCTTCCTCCTTCCTGTCTTCCTGTCATTGGTTCTGCTGAGCACGTGTTCCAGCCACAGAGGCCCCTGTGTGTGGCCGGTGGCCCAGGCGTCTAGACTGGGGCTAGGCGGTGGCGGTGCATCCCCTCCCTGCCCAGCGCCATCACTGTGGTATCGAGTGCCTGGCCAGCTCCCCCAGCCCCATGCTGACCTTCTCTTGTGCTTTGGCTCCGACAGATTCCTGGTCGGGTGGCTTCCAGTGGTCTTCAGTCTGTCGTGCACCGATGAGAACTCTCCTTATTGCTGTGAAGGGCAGACAATGCATGGCTGATCTACTCTGTTACCAATGGCTTTACTAGTGACGCGTCCCCCGGTCTAGGACCGAAATGTTAACACGGGGAGCTCTCCAGGCCACTCACCCAGCGACGCTCATGGGGGAAGTAAACTAAACGGACAGACTCCAAGAGCTGCCACCGCTGGGGCTGCACTGCACCCCCTCCACGTGAACTCAGTTGTACAGGGGCTGGGAAGAAAAGCAGAGCGAATTGCAGAGAATCAGACTCCCTTTCCAGGGCCTTTCAGCTCCCTCCAGTGGTGGCCGCCCTGTACTCCCTGACGATTCCACTGTAACTACCAATCTTCTACTTGGTTAAGACAGTTTTGTATCATTTTGCTAAAAATTATTGGCTTAAATCTGTGTAAAGAAATCTGTCTTTTTATTGTTTCTTTCTTGTCTGTTTTTGCGGTCTTACAAAAAGATGTTGACTCCAAGGAATCCTGAGACAGACACTGGCTTGGAGTTTGTGTAGGAAGTGGAGTCGGGCAGGGAGAGGGTGCAGGCGGATCCCAAGGGTGTGTGTTGTGTTTGTTTTGTAGTGTTTTGTTGTCCACTTTAGAGAGGAGATTTCTCATCAGAAGTCTGTGGTGTGTGTGTGTGTGTGCACGGATGTGGTGGGACCTCTTTTACCTGGTTTTGGTGTCTTACCCTCCCTCCTCCTATAACTGAAATACCTGGCGTCGGGAACTCTCGAGGCCCTCAGAGAGCAGTTAGGGACTGCAGGCTGCCTCAGAGCCAGGGGCATGGTGGATGTTACCAGCCAAAGCAATGCCACTTCTTCCCTGGGAAGTAGGCGGGCAGCTGGAACTCTGAAGAACTTTGAAGCAGAGGCTTTGAGACCCTAGCAGGATAGTTGGGAGTCCCAGGATTAAAGGTGGAAGATGCGTTTCTGGTCCCTTGGGAGGGGATTGTTAACCAAGAGACGTGTGTGATTATTGTGTTTGTTGCCTTGCTGCCTTTGCGCTTGGTAAATTTTCTTAACAGACTGTAAATGCTCCTGTGCTGATTGGCACTCTGTGTGTGTGCCTGTGCTCAAAACCAGCAGCGGGGCTGCCCTCGCCAGGTGCCAAGACTAGCTCAGAAAAGCCAGCGGGCCAGAGGGACTCACCCTGAGGTGCCAAGGAGCAGGTGACTCCCAACCCGACCCAAAACCTCCATGTTGGGGAAGTAGGGTCTGTGCTCTTCGACCTTACGTTGGGCGCGTGTTTGTTGGAAGTGAAGCAGCGTCCGTGGGGCTGAGTCCCACCAGAAGGCAGGTGGCCTCCGTGAGCTGGTGCTGCGCCGGGCTCCACACTGCTGTGCCGGGCTCCACGCTGCTGTGCCCTGTGGTTCCTGGGATGCCTTCTCGCCTCTCGCTCTGTAGCAGTTGGGTGATAGCCAGTGGCTGTGCACTACTGACCCAGACACGCAGTGCAGTGTGTGTTCGTGGGCACTCCTCCATTGCCTTGTCATGGAGGACATGCCCTTTGGACTCCGGGGCCCTGAAGGTGTGCACCTTGCTTCTTCCCTCCCTTCCCCAGAGTTCCCGGATGCTGTAACTGGTAGGCATCCCAGAACACAGTTGTGCGCGGTCCCAGCCAGCTGGCCATCTTGTCTGAGCCCATGGGTGTTTTCTGAATCCTAAGCTGGTTACTTTGTAAGCATTTTGGAGTGCAGGACCTTGAGCAGGTGCGGGCTGTGTGTCTGCAAGTACAGAGGGAGGTTGGGGTGGGTCAGAGCCAAGTTAGAGATTTTCTTTGTTGCTTGATCCCTTCCTGAGGGTAGCTGTCTTCCACCCAGCAAGGCGTTGCGGCTGTGGCCTGAAGTGGCGCAAGCTTGCTTTGTAAATATCCGTGGTCCTGATGTAGTGCCAGAACATTTGTGCAAGGCAGCTCTGCGCCCAGGCTCCAGCCTGAACCTTGCTGGGTTGTGTCCTTGGAGTGTGGTTGTGACAGTCCTTGCCCAGTATCTAGTCCCCATCGTCCTGTGCAGGAAACGTAGGTAGGACGTCCGTGTCAACCTGTGCACTGGCGACCAGTCTCCAAGCTGTGCGTTTGTATGGCCACTGTATTTGTGTACTTTAACAATTGTGTAAATAATAAATTCATAATGACTTCTACCTTTCTTCCCGGCCCTTTCCATGTGGTCTTTTATTTCATTGGCTTGAGATTTTTCGATGTGTTGAGGTAAACCATGTAAAAATCCTTTTTTGAGACGGCTGTTTGTTCTTTCTCATCCTGTTGGTCTGGGAGCTGGCGGGGCAGAAGAGCTGCACACTGGGCCTCCTGCTGGGCAGGGAGGGGTGGCAGCGGCTCCTCCCCATGCTCCCCGTTCAGGCTCCGGCGCACACAGAAGCCCACGTGAGTTCTGTGTGGTCTAGGAGCTGCCCCTGATGACCCTGCAGACATGAAGATGCAGTTCCGTGCAGTTCTTCTCTGCCCCGCCTCCCCAGGATCTCACAGCAGCCCCTTCTGAGGGGCTCAGGCTACCGGAGCAGGGAGGTCTGCACCAATCGGTTGCCACCAACTCCTGACCTGTGCGCTCGTGTGTGGGTGAGCTCAGCCAGGCTAGGCCACCTCCCCTCCCAGCAACTCCCGCCACCTCCACCCTCCACTCCAGGCCACTCCCTTGTTCCCTTGGCCACAGCCATGCTGGCAGGTCATGCTTCCTGAGATGAGAATATGTCTGTAGTCAAAGTGCAACAGGGACTTGAGGTGGCTTGCTTGGAGGTTGCTGGAACTAAGAATGGTGTCGCTTTCTGAGCCCCCCATGGGTATGTGCTGAGGGGATCCTGGGGCTGTCCCGCTGACTCTGCCTGTGACACACTCCTGCCCCAACCCTGGGGATGCCCGTGGCCTGGAGCTCTGCCAGCACCTCCTGCCCTGACTTTGCCTCCACCCAGGGCCTTCCTGTCTCCAGGCTACCTCACATGGTTCCCTCTTGCTGGTGCAGACTGAGACACCATTTAGGGCCTCACTGTGGCCATGGGTGAGGCTCGGCCCCTGCCCCACTCAATGCCATACCGGCCCCAACCAGAAAATGGCAAGACCCATGTTCCAGCTCCTGCCTAACCTTCCCAGGCCCACCGCCTCCCTCCTGGGTTTCCCTGCCCTGGGAGGGAGCAGAGGCTGCTTGTCTTCCAGGCCTGCTGGGTGGCAGCTCTGCAGCACATCTCCTCTCATCATGAGGGCCAGTGCACATGGGGTTAGAGGGTCTGTTCTCTGAACCTCAGTCTGGCTGGGTCTGTGTCCTCAGACATGGTTTAGACACTGAGAAAAGCAGGCCCTTCAGGTACCAGGCAGCGCCTCCTTGGAGCTTCACCACAGACCCCTCAGAAGACAGAGGATGGCAGCATCTAGGGCCATTGGCCCTTTCTGAGTCTCCTGCACCCCCATCCCCTCCCCAGCATGGGCCCTGCCCACATCTGTTCCAGGGCTGTTCTCAGGGAAGGCCCAGCCAGGCAAGTACCTCCCCTCCTCCCACTGATCTGGGGTCACATGATGTCTGTGCCCCCCCCCCCCACCACCCCAGGTAGCAGTGGGTTCTGGATGGATGTGTGTCTGGTCAGGAGAGTCTTCATAGCACATTAGACCTTAGCCACTTTTGGCACCAGAATCTGTCCCCAGGGTTGGGCTCTGCCCCCAACTTCCTCCAGGCCTCCCTTCCCCTTGCTTCCACCTGCCAGGTCAGACCAGACCCACTGCCCAGCGGCTTCTCTCCCATAAAGGCACCAGCTGAAGGAGGGGGTGGCAGAATTCACACCCACTCATGCCCACCCTACAGTGCAGGGACCCCAGCCTCCATGAGTCCTGTGCCTCCGAGCATGGTGACCTTTCCACATCTGGACCACTCCTTAATCACTGAGCAGTGTCCCTCAGGGACGTCTCTCCAGCGGTGGCACTGCTGGGGCTCTGCGTGGGGACCAGAGTGGGGCAGGTCAGGCGAGAGTTGAGATGGAGGGCCCGCATCCTGCCTAGGGGAGGGGAGGGCCCAAGGTATGTGGACACAGGGTCCCAGGAACAGGCACCCCCTACCTGGTCCACAACCTCCCTGCCATTTCCTTCATAAGCCCAGGTCACACAAGGCCAGCAGAACCAGGGACAGCCAGGTCCAGAAGGGGTGCCCCCTGCGTCTGAGCAACCTTCCTGGGGCCCTGACGTGGGAGGGCCGGCCAAGGAAGGCCACGTATCCTCTGAGACCCAGGCTGCCCGCTCCCACTACCACCTGCTTCCTTCAGCTTCTGGGTGGGGCTGGTGGACTCTCAAAACACATGGCCCTGGCTGTTCAGAGCTCCACCTTGATCCCTGCAGCTGCCAGCACTGCCTGAGCCCTGGTGGAGGCCTCCACAGCCCTGAGGCTACAGGCAGTAGCCCGGGCTGCAGGAGCTCAAGCCCAGCTGGGGCAAGGCCAGGGGCAGACGGGGGTGGCTGGGCCTGAGATACGCACTTTCGCTTGCTTTTCATTGCAGAGGAGCAGGGATGTGGCATCTCTCCGGCTGCATGCAGCCCGCCAGGGCACCCGCTGCCATCCCCAGCGCCCACGACGCACCTACTGAGGGCCCTGGCGGCCTCTGACCGGGCTCCCAGCCACGCAGGCCACTGCTGGCCACAAGGGCAGGTGGGTGTTAGGTGCTCAGGATAAGCCCAAGCGCGGGGCCGGGCTGAATGGAGGATGGGGCGCAAAGACCAGCCTTGGCCACTGGCCACACTACCCACACTTCCAGTCAGCCAGAGGGGTGAGAGAGGGAAGGTGGGAGAGTCCTGGTTCTTACACACCAGCAAACAAAGTGGCCTGTTCCACCTCAGCTCCTATCTAAATACCACTTATGGGCTCCCTGGCACAGAAGCCTCCAGGCACCTGCCCTGCCTCCCTCTCCATACAGTGCCTGCCCCACCACGAGTGCTCTGCTGCTGCAGGGAAAGCTGGTGAGGACAGAGCCACTGTAGGAACCACGCCATCAGCAGGCCTGAGATTTGGGGTGCAGAGTCAGACTACACAGCAAAACCACACACTCCTAGAAGACCCTTTGCCCTGACGCTCTACTCACACGCAGGTTTATTTCCACCTTCCAGGAGTGGCAGAAGCTATCCCCAAGACACTGAAGGGTGGGTACAGGCCGCACGTGAGAACCCAGGGTAGAATGGGCTGGAGAGGTCCCCACACAGCACCTGCCCCACCAGCCTGTCCACAGCCCACCCTTGGATTAAAGTCATGTCATCTTTTGGCATGGATTTCTAGGTCCTTGAGCACAACTGTGGCCGCAGGCCGTTTGGGACCAGCAGGCGGGGCCCCTGTTGTGGAGGCTTGGCTTCACTGCAGATCCACTCTGGAATGACACGGTTCCAGCCCTGCCACCTCCCCCCGGAAAACACTGATCAGGCGACGATCTGCTAAGCTGGCAGCCAGAGCCCAGCGTGGCCCTGCCTGAGCCAGTCCTGTTTGTAAAATAAATAGCAAGCATTGCCAGCCTCTGTACCTCCTCACTGTGCTTGCCGGCCCCTCCCAGCCACTCAGACACTGGTTTCTGGGGTGTGAACCACCTCCCCGTTTTTCTCAGGCTCAGCCTTCAGGAAATGTTCCACTTCCCTAGAGTCCATTGCTGCATCTGTGGGGGGCTTGTGGAGCTTCTCCTCCTCTGTGGCCACTGCCTCAGGCTGTGGCTCCTTGGGCCTCTTCCTGATGCAGAAGAAGTTGCCCAGCAGCAAAATCAGGGAGGAGGTGACCACCTCGGCCCCCGCCAGGAGGAACACATACTTGTAGACGTGGGTCGCGTCCAGGAGCTTACCTGCAGGAAGACCCTGTCAGTCCCAGCCGCTCTTGTGCAGGTGCAGCTGTCCCTGGGTGCCCAGGGCCCCGCCCAAGCCGGTGTGTACTCGGTGTCTGTCAGCCCACATAGGCCACCCTGTGTGCCTCCCAGCTCCTGGAACCAGGTGTTCTCTTCCCTTCATGTGTTCCAGCTGGGGGCATCGTCAGCCTCCCTCCCTCCTCCCCAGGGAAGCCAAGACTTAGAGGCTAAAAACAGCAGTGGCTTTGAGGGGAGTTTGGGCCTTGGTTAGTGGTAGGAGTCATGCTGGTCCCCAGAGCCCCCCAACCCCCCCGGGCTTCCAGTTGGCAGCGCCAGAAGCCCTGCTACATTCAGCACCAGCCCTGTTTCCCAGCTACCTCAGACCCTGAGACAGGAGTCAGATGGTGAGGCCTTGGCCCTCCCCAAGCTCAGGACCCTCCCTTGCCAGGCAGCCAGAGCCTGGGTGAAGGTGCTCTTGTCAGAACTCAGTTCCCTCAAGTGTTAGCTCAGTCAGCCTTCAAAAAGGAAAGGTCCCAAAATGCAAAAACCAGCTGTGGGTTGCCCAAAACCGCTGCCCGAGACACGATCTTTGGGGCTTCACCCCCACCCCCTTTCCTTGGATTCCTCCTGCAAGCCTGTCTGCAGCCCCCTAACCTGGTGGGTCCCACATGGACAGCCTGCCTTTGCCCCTAACACTGACACATAACTGGAGGCAGGACCCTCTGCAGACAAGAGCCTGGACGAGATGCTCCGCCACCCCTGGGTCCAGCCCCTGGTCACCCTATCTGTCGGGGATACACTGGGCCAGGCTAAGCCCCTAACTCCTAATGGAGACCTGCTGGCCCCGGCAGAATCAGGCTTGGTCCAGCACAGTGCACCCCCCTCCAGCTCTGAGTCCCACAGTGGGTGGCGGCCAAGGGGTGCTTATCCCTGCCTTGCAAAGCGGGCATCTGACCGGAACGCAGGTGTGGGGAACTGCCAGCGCTCACCTCCAGACGGGGGACCGATGAGAACGGCCACCGCCTCCATCAGCAGCACCAGGCCGATGGCGCTGGAAAACTTGTGGGTGCCCACGATGGCCATGAGCACCTCGAACTGCAGGGCCCCCACCATGCCGTAAGAAATGCCAAAGAAGATGCAGAAAACCACCAGGCCACCGTAGTCACCCGCTGTGGAGCCCGCCAGGTCCGCGAGACCGTTGAAGAACATGGAGAAACTGAAGAGGTAGACGGAGTAGGGCCGCACCTTCCCAAGCCCCGCCACAAAGCCCGCGGCCGGCCGCGCGAAGATGTCGATGAAGCCCAGGATGGTGAGTAGGAAGGCCGCCTTGGTGTCGGGTACACCCAGGTCCTTGGCGTAGCTCACCACGAACACGGGTGGCACGAAGAGCCCCAGCACCATGACCGAGGCAGCCACCGCGTACAGCACGAAGCCGCGATCCCGGAAGACGCTCAGGTCTAGCAGGCGCCGGGAGGGTCGCTGCAGCCCCGAGTTCCCATCTGGCTGGGCCACAGCCACCAGGGGCCTCATGAGTGCGGCACACACACAGCAGTTGAGCAGCAGGCCGCCCAGGATGAGGAAGCCGCCCCGCCAGCCATAATGGTCCTGCAGCAGCTGCCCCAGCGGGCTCAGGGCACACAGGAAGACGGGGCTGCCTGCCGCCGCCAGCCCGTTAGCCATGGGGCGCCGCTTGCTGAAGTAGCGGTTCAGCATGATGAGTGAGGGCTGGAAGTTGAGTGCCAAACCCAACCCTGGAGGAAAGGGAACAGGGTGAGAGCCCTCTCAGGGCATCCCCAAAGCCCAAGACCCTCATCTCTGCCCCCAGGTTCCCACAGGCCCAGGGTTCCCAGTGGGCAGAGCCCCTGCCACCCACACACTCGAGAAGGGGACGGTGAGGTGGAGCCAGATGCCCCTCAGCCACCTGCCCTCCTGTCCTCCAGACAGCCCCGCCCCCTCCTGACACCTGCGGCCCCACTCACCAGTGATGACCCCAGTGGTGAGGTAGACCTGGATGATGCTCCTGCAGAAGGTGGCAGCCACCATGCCCAGGGACGCGAAGAGGCCCCCCACAAGCATGACGGGCCGGCAGCCAAAGCGGTTCACACACACGCTGCAGAGTGGGCCTGGAGAGGGCGGCAGCTGAGAGGGGCAGGCCCAGGCCTGCAGCCAGCTCTGCCCCTCCAGCCCACTGAGCTCACAGCCACCCCTCCCTTGGCGGGATGCTAGGGGCACCCTGTGGCTGGCTCCCCAAGCACAGAGCTAATAACATGAGCACTGCCCACTGTGCCCATTGGTCCTGCAGTCAGGAACAGCCATCTTTTCAAGAACAGCTCTCTGGGAGCCCCATCCTCTGGGACTGTCTATAAATACAGCCGACCCGTTTGGACGGGGGCCAGGATGGACTTCACCCTTCCTGGGCTGGCCCCACAGAGAACAAGCCGCTGCCCAGCAGGATCCCAGCCCCAAGGGCTTCCCTCCAGGGTTCCCTGGGGAGCGGGTGGAAGGTGCTGTGCCAAGTCCAGCCACACATGGACTTCTGTGCCCAGCAGGATCTGCCTGTAGAACCCCAGACGGGGGGCCCAGCGTGAGGCCGCCCTCACCTGTCCCATAGAGCATGGCCAGCAGGATGGAGGAGATCCAGGCTGTGTCGCTGTAGCCGATCCCAAACTCCCGCATCAGCTCCTTGAAGAAGACACTGACGGCCTTGGGGAAGGCGTAGGAGAAGCCAGTGATGACGAAGCAGCCAAAGAGCACGGCCCAGCCCCAGCCACCGTCGGGGGCCTTGACGCCAGTGGGGCCCTCGTCCACCACAGCCCCTCCCATGGCGAGGAGGGCTGGTTCCGCCTCACCTGAGAGAGAAAGGAGGCTGACTCAGGCTGCCCAGGTTACCACCCCCAACTGCAGCCCGGCAGGGGAGGGACATGAGCTGGGTGCCACACACACCTGGGGCTGGCACCTGGGCCAGATGCCCCAGGAGCTCAGCCGTGGGGCAGCTGCCCAGCACCTGCACTAGTGGCCCCCTGACCTGCTGCTTGTTGCAGGCAGGAGGGTTTGCAGGGAAGCAGTTGGGGGTACCAGTCCACCCACCTCCCTCTGCACTGCCTCCTGCACCCACACAGCTGGCTCTAAAGGGCAGTGGCTTTTGTGGGCTCAGCCAGGACTCAGATTACCTCCTGGGATGAGCAGCCCCCGGCAGGAACATGGACCTGGCCCTCATTTCTGCCCTGGCTCAGTCTCCTGGCTGACTTGTGCTGGGCAGGGGCCAAGCACGCTGTGATTCTGGCAGCAGCATGCACCTTCAGTCCCCAGCACCAAGCTTGCCCTAGGGCCTCTGGAGGTGGTGTCCTCCAGGCCTCTCCCTGTCTAAATCTAGGTGGAGTGTGCCTTGCCCTGGCTCTTCTGCCCCCAGGGGCCCACTTTGGCGTCAGTGGAGCCCGCCAGGAGTCTGCACCAAGAGGAGGGGGGCAGTTGCTGGCTGTGGGGGACTGGGCACCTGGCTGGAGGGGACAGTTAGAAGCACAGGGCCTGCAGTATTAGAGTAAGTGGAGTGGGGAAGTGGGGGCAGAGCTGGCCTCCTGTCCATGGAGGCCCCCTTGCCTCTCACCGGTGTGCTTGCTCAGCAACTCCTCCAGTGGGAAGAGGCTCACCCCACCTCTGCCTGGAGTGACCCACAGGCTGCAGCTTGAACTCAGGAACATCTGGAGCCTCCAGGGGAGGTGGGGACCAGGAGGCTTCCATCCATCCCACCAGAGCAAACCACACCAGCCCCCACGATGTCTGAAGCTGGCATCCCTTTTGTAAACTCCAGGAGCTTAGCTCGTTTGGGGGAGAGTAAAGTTGGAACCCAGGGCCAGACTTCTGTCTTCATGCACCACCCTACCCAGAAGTCACCTTGTCTCCCTCCTCACCAAGGACCGCAACCCAAGTCCTTGAGTGGTCTAGTCCAGCCAGCTTGGCTTCTTCCTCCTGGGGCCATACTGTGAACCAGCACCCCAGGAGGCAGCAGCAGGCCTGCAGTGCAAGCTCCACGACCACCCCCTTTCCTTGGATTCCTCCTGCGTGTCCACAGCCCCCTAATCTGGTGGGTCCCACATGGACAGCCTGCCTTTGCCTCTAACGCCAACACATAACTAGAGGCAGGACCCACACAAGGGCAAGGGCCTTTGCTGGGTGAGTTTCAGGAATTCTGTGCCTGCTCCTCCTCCTCTGGGCCCTCCTCGCAACCAGCCTGCCAGACTGGCCCCACCGCAGGTGCTGTGCCCCTTGGAGTCCCTGCTTCGGAGGTCTGAGGATGGTCTTTAAGGGCTCCCCAAGAGTTCCACGCAGTTACTGTCACTGGGAAATGCTGCTTGACGAGGGGAGCCAGCTGTGGCTGGATGATGACAAGGCAGACACAGCCCACTGGAACGGAACAGGCCCTCCCCGGATGCCCACCTCCAGAGCCTATGCTGGCTCCCTGAGGCCAAGGCCTTGGGACCATTTCTTCGAAACCCAGGAGCACCTTTTGCCTCTGCCTGCACCTGGGCTCCAGATGCCCCCACCACAGTGCCTGGGGCAGGACACTGCCTGGAGTCCCTCAGCAGCAGGGCATTAAGTTTAAAAGGTCCCTAAGATGACACTACATAGCAGGGTAACTACAAGATGCTAAAAATACATGCACTTGAGGAATGAAACAGGAACAGGATGCAGAATGCGGGCCATGGGGGAGACAGGAGGGGTTGACAGCCTCAGGGTCCCAGCTTGTTTGGGATTGTGGGTTTACACTTTGTAAAATACATCACAGGGACCATGCAAGGCCAAGGAAGGAAATGTATACACAACAAATAGAAACAGGCAAATTCCGCACACCCCAGGGTCCCCTCCAAAAACAAGCACCAGGGTCTCTTGAGTCTACCTAGGCTGTACCAGCGGGAGCAGGGGATGCAGGCAAACCCAGTGTTCAATGCCCTCCAGCGTCCTCAGGAGACAGACGAGGGTGCATGGGGAGGCAGGGGATGATGGCCGCCCTCTGGATATGTGGTGCCCCCTGGACTAGGGTCAAGGAGGGCTGGCAGATGGTTGGGGCAGTGCCAGGACTCACTGGCCAGGAGAGCACAGCATGTTCTGGGACCTGAGGAGCTTGTGGCTTCCACATGAAACTCAGGTGGGGAGGGCCATCTTCTGTGTCAAGGAGATGAGGCATTTGGACAAGAAGCTTCCAGACCACAGCCTGGCACTATCATCTGTCCTCACCCAGCCTGGGGTGCCAGTCACCCAGACTCAAATGGCTCCATGACTTCCCACTCCAGCCTGTCGTCCAGGGGCTTTGAGGCAGCTGTCTGCCCACACAACTTGGGGGAGGGGATTCCACAGGAGGTGCAGTAGGGGAAGGGACACAAAACAGCAGTCAAAGGCAGTCCATAGTCCCCGTCTCCCAGGATAACCCCAGCATCACGATGGACTGAGGTGCAGGCTGGTGTTCCAAGGACAGCCCTGGGGCTGCCCTGCCTGGAGCCACACCACAGCCACCAAGCATTGGCTTCTTCCTGGGCACACACTACAGGCTGGCCTTCCCCTGACATTTACTGTCATCCCCCCCACCTGTCACACCCCCAGGAAGCATGCCAACCCACCCAGAAATAACCTGTCCTCTGGGCTGAGAAAGCTGATCTCCCAGGTGGGGTTGCCTGGAGAGCGGGTCCCTGAAGGCCCCACAACCCCGGGCTGCTAAAGCTGAGCAGGGAGGTCTGGGGCAGGGGTGCGTGGGGAAGACCCTTCCAGGAGACCCCCACATCACAGAGCCATGTGTCCTCATGAGCAAGCAGTTCCCTCAAGGGTCCAGGGCACAGAGGTATCTTAAGGACCCCTGGTTTGGGGCCAGGACTCAGCCATGAAGCCCTCAGGACCTGGACACCTGCCAGGTTGGACCCCTGCAGCTGTCACCAGCCTGGAAGGCTTGGGAGACCATGCCAGGTCCTACAGGGCCTATGGCAACACACATACAAAGAGGGTCCCGAACCTGAGCCCAGCTGCTCAGCTGGCTCCTCCAGAAACCTCACCCACCTCCTTGGGAGCACTGGGCACCCTGGACCTGCTTCCCCTTACCCTCTTAGGTCCTCAGGTCTTCAAGCAGCACCACCACCTCACTGAGGCCTCTGCTGGACTGTCAGCCTGTTGTCAGGGTCTGTACAGTGGCCTGAGCCCCAGGGCAGTGGCCTCTTACCTAACTGACTCCAGCCTTTGAAGGATGGGCCTTGGCCCTGCCTTTGTGGCCCAGGCAGGAGGCGGGGCAGGAAAAGGGCAATTTCTTTCCTTCCTGGATCCCTGGGAGCTGCTGAGGACCAAAGAAGCAGCCCCCTCCCCCACCCTTCGGCTAGCTCAGGATTGGCAAGGGGTGCCGGGAGGGCGGGAGGGCACTGTACCAGGGAGGGGCCTCCCTGAGTTCTTCTTCCCCTTGTGCAAATAAGGAAGGAGCACCAGCCCCTCCCTGCAGCCCAGGCCCAGCCACCCGCAAAGGTGTGGGGGGCCGAGCTGTCAGGGAGTGGACGCTGGACAAGGGGCTGCACAGGCCTGGGTCCTGTGCCCCATCTCAGACTCCTGCGCATGCCTGTGCCTTGCCACTGTGTCCACTTACATCATGACGGCAGGGACCGGTGGGGCAGACACATAGGCCTTATTTGCAAATTGGCCACTTCCTCCCAGGGCCAGGGCCAGGAGCCCCCCAACTGGTGCCCCAAGGGTTGCTGGGCGCAAGTCCCACGTGGAAAAAGGAGGCTGCCTGTGCCGCCACTGCGGGGTCTCAGAGCTTGGAACCCCCTTCTCTGCAAGCTGAGGTCACCACCCTGGGGCCGGGAAGCGGTGGGAGCCAGAACTGGTCCAGAGCCGCTTCCCCCACCCCGGAGGCCTCCTGGACCCCGCAAGGCCGTCCCTCCACGAAGCCATTTCGTCCCATTCCTGGACTATGCGCCCCTCCACCCTAAAGCCAGTGTCCGAAAGCCAAGCCTGGAGGGGAACTCGGGTCAGGAGGCTCCCCCGCCATCGCCTCCCGGCAGGCGTCGTGGGGACCCGTGGGGAGGGGTGACCCGGAGGAGGCAGGAAGGCGGGTGGTGGGGGACTGAGGGGGAGCCCAGAGCTCCACCCTCGCTGGGAAAGGCCCCTCCTCGGTGCGCCCCTGACGGGGCTGGACGATTGCCTGATGGCTTTGGCTTCCCGGTTCTGCGAGCAGGGGTCGGCGCTTGTAGGGGAGGCTGGGCAGAGCCCACACGGGGAGGGAGAAGGGGGACAGAAGGATGCTCTGCCCGGACCTGACCCGCCCCGCCGGCCGCGGGACGTGGGGGACGTGACCGCGCCATAGGAGGAGCCGCCGTATTGCCCGCAGTAGGCGCCCTACCGGACGCTACCGTAATTGCGGGCGCGCGGGTCCACCCGAGTCAGCAGAGCTGGGAGTCGCGCCAGGCGTCGGGCCTCGAAGCCACAGGGCGGGGCCGGCTCCACTTGCTGCAGTGGTGGGACGAGTGGGCGTGGCTCGGGGCTCGGGCACTTTGATTCGTGAATCCCGAGTCTCGGGGCAGGGGCCCGGCGGTTCTGTGCGTGCGGCTGCCCGGAGCGGCCCATTTCACAGATGGGGCTGACTCGGGCTGGAGACGCTGTGAGGACGCCCCAGCCCTGTCTACTCCCGCCCCGCCCCTGCACCACGCCCCGGCACCTCCAATGGCTCTGCGCCACCGGCCAGAAGGCCCCCCGCTGGGGCCCAGCGTGTAGGTCACATTTGGCTCTTCACTCTTGGAAGTGGCACTGGCCTTTCCGCCCCATGTGGCCAGGTCACCCCAGGACCCACCACTAAGCCAGCCCTCCAAAGTAAAGTACTCCGCTCTGATCACTGGGACCACATGGCTTTCTGGGTGGCCTGGATGGCAGGCCCTGTCCAAGGTCACATAGGGTCGTTACCAAGCTTGCCTTGGGACCAGGCCTCTAGATTCCTACCCCAAGCTCTGTCCACACCACGGGGTCCTGGGGAAAGACTCTGCACCTGCCAAGACAGTGTCCCTATGTACTCAGACCCTCTGGGGGCAGAAACCCCCCATGGCCTCCTAGCACCCCTCTCCCAGTTCCTGCCCGCCATGAGGGAGTGCAGCCCAGCCGCCACACCACGCTGGCGGAGCCGTTTCTGTCCCTCCCAGCACGTTCAGGCCAACACCCACCTGACTTCCCAGGCCTGTGCAGTGAAGCTGGGACCCTGGGCTCCCCGGCCCCAAAAGACACAAGATCACCCACTCTTGTGCTCAGCGTAGACAAGCCCCTGGGCCCTGGGGTGGGGCCAACTGGCATTTCCCCCCGTCAGCAGGCCTGACTCTGGCCAGGAGAGGGACACTTTCAGCCCAGGCTTCCTGGCCACGCAGCTCGATGCCTCTAGGACAGAGAGGAGGACAGCGGCCCGACGCCGCCCCGTCGTTCCTCACTGACTCCAGCCACCCCCGGTAGCCCTGGCCAGAGCCAAGGCTTCACTTCCACTCTGCGGCCCCTTCCCTTGACTGGCCCAACACCCGAGGAGGCGCCTGACCAACCCACTTTTAGGATACGGAAACTGAGGCGAGGGTTAGTAAATGGGAGGTTACCGAAGGCCGCGCCTGGTTTTCCCACGAACTGGGGCCAAGGGGTGGGAGGTAGGGCGAACCCAGGGAGCCCAGCCTGACTCTAGAAGCGGTCCCCACGTCCGAGCACGGCGCAGGCTGTTAGTCATTGCCCGAGGGCGGGCGTGAGTCCGTGAGTGTTTAGGGTGACGCGAACGGGGAAAGCGCCTCGGCCCGAGCGCACGTGCTCCCACTCCCTCGGGGAGGCCGCCCCCACGGGGAGGGCTGCAGCAGCCTCACCAAATATAGCCCGCGCCCCCAGCCGCCGCAGCGGACCGAGCTATTTATACCCGGACCGGGCTTGGCCGCCGGCGCAGCCACCTCCGGGCCGGAGCCCAGCCCCTGAAGCCGCCAGATGGGTGGGCGCCGGGCCGGACCCAGGAAGGCCAGACTGGGCAGCCAGGGATGCGAGGGCGCGGAGGGGCGCGGCTGACTCTCGGCGGGGGCCGCAGGGGGCGGGAAGGCTAGTCCATGCCCCGGGCACCCCCGGACCTGACGGACGAAGTTGGGGCGGGGTGAGAGCGCGGACCCAGAGGCCACCCCCTTGTCAGGCACTGGCTTGGCGCCCCGGGCGGCTCAGAAGCTCCTGGGCCCCGACCCCGCGCGCCGAGCATCCGGGCCGCGCCTACCTGCCACCGCTGAGCCGCCGCGCCCGCCTCTGCCGCCCGGCTTCGCGCCGGGGGCGACTTTAAGTGTTCCGGTCGCTCGCGCGGCACGTCCCCCGCGCACGTCACCGCCTGGCGCCGCCCCTGCGCGCCCCGCCCGGACCCCAGGCCGCCGCCGGAGGGGTTCCCGGGCCGCAGCTTCCCGACGGCGCGTCCCGCAACTCCGGCCGAGCCCCGAGATCCCCCCACCCGGGACCGGCCCCGTTGGCGCCCCTGGCCCAGAGCTGCGCTTCTTGCCAGGCCAGACCCGCCCCCTCCGCGCCCCGGGACTGGGGCCACCCGGCCTCGCCTGCCCCCGGCGCTGGGATGGGCGTCCAGGCTCGCGGCGCCCTCGCGTCCCTCCGCTTCCCCTCCCAAAACCGCGACTGCCAAATCCCCCGGCTCGGAGCGGAGCGCGACCCCTCGCCCCCCAACGCCGGAGCCCCTGTGACTGGCGGGTGCGCGCGGCTCGTGGGGTTCCGGCGCCTCGCTCAGCTCTGGGGCCCGGATCCTCCTCGCTGAGGCCACGGGCCGACCTGTCCCCGTCCAGACCTCCGCTTCCTCCCAGGGGCCGGGGCCGGTGTGGGCGGCGGTTCCTCCTGGGTCGGGGAGCGGCCTGCGCTGCCGGGATTTGGGGCAAGGCCTCGCCCTCCGTGAACTTCCGTTTCCCCGGGTGGCTCCGCGCCCGGAGGGGCCCCACAAAGCCACCCACTCAGCCCTGCGGCCCAGAACCCGGATGGAGAGACCGGGCAGCTGACACCTCCGGAGAGGCGAGGGCTGTGGACCGCTGGCCCTCGGAAGGCGCTTCTCCCAGTCCGTTACATGGACTAACGGGGCGTTTCTGGTGCTGGCGTCTGAGGCAGCTCCAGGGAGCGAGGCCTTTGTTGGCCTGGACCAAGGACGCCAGTTGCCGGTCCGCAGGAGCGATTTCCAGCTAACCGGCCCCTCGCGGACCCGCCTCCGGGGCTTCTGCGGCGGAGGCGCCTTGGAGGAAGCGGCTCTCTTTCCGGGGCCACGAGGGGGCGCAGTTTCAAGGGCAAGAAGTTCCCAGCGCTGTGCCCCCTCCCATCTCTCTCCATCCGGGGGATTTAACGGTTTATGTTTGAATTTGGCGGGCGCGGGAAGAGACTGAGTCAATTCAGCGGAAGTTTAAAGGAACTCCGTCCATTGGCCAGGGGTCTTGGAGAAGGTGGGGTCCTCCCAGGTGAGAGGTCCCCTTCTTCGCACCCCTTCGGACTCCATGTTTGGGTCCCTTCCGTGAACGCTCCCTTCGTGGAAGCCATCTTTCTTTCCTCTGGAGTCCCCTCCACACCCTCGCGGAAGCCTGTCTTCCCTCCTAGACTCCACCTCGATTCCCTCCGCTCAGCGTGGAAGCCGCTCTCCTCCCCCGGATTCCTTCTTTCTGGATTCCCACGCAGTGGGACTTTCCTGTTTCTTTCTGTCTAAATCACTTTCAACAAACGCCTTTGAGTCCAGCATTTACTGCGCGCCGCGCCGCGGTCCCCTCTCATTCTTGAGCGGGCAGGAGACCAAGAACCTGGAGAAGCATCCTCTCAGGGGAGCTGGGGGCTCCCGAGCCCCAATATTGCCCCATCACACAGAGGAGGCAGTGGGTATCAGTGGAGGACCCCAAAGGGCAGGGGGAGGCCCACCGCTGGCAGCGAGGCCGTGCGGGCTTCGGCGTCCCCATCTGGAGCCCAGCCTTCCGGCGACAAGTGCAGTGGGGCCGCCTGTCCTTTCAATGTAATGTGACGAGCCCACCCTCCCACTGGCCCTCACCCCGACCTGGGCCCCAACCACCCCGATCGCCAAAAGCTGAAAAACATGAAGATGGGAGCATGTACCTCTGAGCAGAACCGAGGCCTGTGGCAAGGGGTGAGGAAACAGCCTCCATTCACGCCCGCCCGGTGCGGGGTCTTCCAACTTCGTGGATGAACACCCCATGTAGTTGGCCGCTGCTCCTGCCAGTGGCAGGTGGTGGATCCACCTTGGGTGGCACAGGTGGTGCTACCATCTTCTCCCACCAGGCGATTCGTCACTTTCCATGGAGGCTGGGGGCACAGCACTGAAGGAGAGCAACAGAGGGGCGTGGGACACCCGGGACAGCTGTGGGAAGGGAACCCCCATGAGGCATTGCCGGCTAGGGAGGCGGGGACACTGCGCACCTGGTCCCAGATTGTCGAGTCACCAGGCCTGCCAGCTGAGCTTGGGGCCCCTACTGAAGCCACCAAAGCACCTTCCACGTCTGTCAACAACTTGGCCCTGAACCCTGAACGCCCACCATGGAGCAGCAACAAGGGGAGGGAGACAGAGCGGGAAAGCCTGGGGTGTCACTGCCCCTTCCTGCCTCCTGAAGGACAAAGGGTCGTCCCTGCCAGAGCCATGTCTTCTCTCAGCTGGGAAGATGCCCACTCATCCCTCCAGGGGACCCAGGGAGTACCTGGGGTTTGGCTCTGAGCCCCAGGCCTGGCACCTTCTTAGGCATGGCTTCCCTTGGTTGTGGGCCCCAGACTGCCCACCCACAGCTGGGTGGAGCCTCCCTGCCCTCAGGGGAACGGAGCACACAGGCCAGTCAGCACTGACTCCCGGCCGAGGTCGAGTTTGTGGGCTTTGACTAGGATGGGACTGGGAGATCAAGGAGTGCTTGGAGTGATGGCTGCCGGGGCTGAGGCTGGGGGCCTGTGCTGGAAACCAGGTTGTTACCCAGAGGAGAGGCGCAGAGCCACTAGAAAGCAGGCCACCTGGGACAGCTTGCCCCAGGCCTCAACAGGACAGGGCCCTGTGAGATGGGGCCAGAGCCTCCGAGACCCTGGGTTCCTCTCCCAGGATTCTAGCACTCTGGTAGCATGAGGTACCCCTGACCTCCAAGTGCTCAACTTTCAGAAAGACCCAGCAACTGTTTTGGGGGAGAGGGCTCCAGGCCTGGCACCAGGGCCCAGGTGGCCAGTCTCCATCTGACACACAGCTCCATGGGCACCTGGGCACTGAATACTATTCAGGTTTCAGGTAAGGAGCCTTCCGGGGAGCATGCCTCTCCCTCAGCAATCCTGGATGTGTCAGAGACGGCGATGGTGCAGCAGGAGAGAGACACCTCTGCCCATGGTGCCATCCCCCTGGCCCACTGGAGGCGTGGAGCTGCAGGGAGGGGTGGGAAGGCCTGAGTGTGTTTGCAACTCTGCAGCTCCTCTCTGGGTGGTGTTGGGAACATCCAGCCCAGACCTGGCTCCAATGCCTGCTCCCCCACAGTGGCCCCGGGTCAGCCCCTAGGCTCAGGCTGCCCTTTTCTTCAGGAAAGGAGGTGGGGGTGTAGACAGGTGGCACCATCCCTGGCCAGTGAGAGGCTTCACAGGGCGGCCCCCCTGTGACCCCACTTCCCCCAGCCCTGACCTCTCTCTCAACCCCAGGTGTCCCCACCTGCCCCAGCCTCCTTGTGTTCCAGGCCTGACCTTTTGACCCAGTTCCAGGCCTGGCCCTCAGGTCCTTCCCACCCTGCTACCTGGAAGGCTTAAGCTCCCTGGGGGATGTGGTCCCACTTTTTCCAAGAGCAATCTTTGTGGGAAGGGCGGGCGCGAAGGGCAGGCTGTTTCCTCCCCCATCGGCTGCCACAAGGGTCCCATCTCCAGTCAGAGTGGGAGCCAGGCCCTACCTCTGTGTCCTGACATGGCCTAGGAGATGTGGAGAGGCTTTTCTGAGGGTCACCGTGGCTGCTGCCCCAGGGACAGTGGCAGAGGCCCCCACTCCTATTGAGGGCAGATCTTGGGTCCCAGGGAAACTTCCAGGGCCAGGGGAGCCACACAGAGCCCACATCCTATGTGCTTGGGAACCCACACAACGTTTTCCAGATCCTAGCAGGGCCACCCTGTCCTGCCCCAGTCCTGGCTGTACCACCCAGCGCCAGTTGCAGCCCCATGGACAGGATTGGGGCCAGGACCGGCTGGGTTAGAGGAAGAAAGCCGAGTCATGGGGAAGGACATTCCGGCAGAGCCACGGCCCCGCCTCCCTGGGGTCCTGGGCCGCTGGGCTCCTGACCTTGCCTGCCTAGTGCTCCCTGCCCAGAGGATCTGGTGACAACTGCCACTGCCTGTCACTCCACACCTGTGGCCACACCCTCCCCCAGACTCCAAACCCGCAAGGGGCGTGTGGTGGGACAAACTCAGGTTGGATAGGAGATGCAGCCAGGATGGTGCCAGGGGAAGCTGATGCCCTTCACCACACAGAGCCTAAACCCGGGACCAGGGCTGTGGCCCAAATTGGTGCCTTCCCTTCACTCACCTGCCCCAGATTCTTCACATTAAAACCTGTCCAGGGTTGCCCAGGCGCGGTGGCTCACACCTGCAACCCCAGCACTTTGGGAAGCTGAGTCGGGCAGATCATGAGGTCAGGAGTTTGTGACATGCCTGGTCAACATGGTGAAACCCCGTTTCTACTAAAAATACATATACACACAAAAATCTGTCCAGGCTCCCAGAGAAATACATATTAACCTGGCTGCTGCTGGGAATTCCTAGTGAGTGGCAGCCCAGGCAGGGGGCAGATGTGGAAAGGACAGGAGAGGCTGCACCTTGGCCCAGTGGGGCCTGACCTACAACTCTGCTGCCTGTGGTGTGTCCGCATGGGTGGAGGGGTGTGTCTGCATGGGTGGAGGGGTGTGTCTGCATGGGTGAAGGGGTGTGTCTGCATGGGTGCCTCTGTGCACAGATGTAGAGGTGTGTCTGCATGGGTGCATCTGTGCACAGGTGTAGGGGTGTGTCTGCATGGGTGTAGGGGTGTAGGTGTGCATGGTCTGATGAGAGCAGCTGTCATGGGCCTGCCAGATCTTCTCCTTGATGTCCTCAGCAACCTCTTGCTCTGTCACTGGGAGACAGAACTGAGAGGGGTCAATGCTGCTGGAATATTCAGAACTAATGCCCATTGGAGCCTGGGCAGTCATTCCAGGAATGTGGTTGAGTGGGGAAAGAAA